CTAGGAGCTGCAAATTAGAAACCTAGACCTAAAACTCATTTAAAATGTAATAATTGAGTCAGGTGGATCTCTGTGAGTTCGAGGCCAGCCTGGGCTACCAAGTGAGTTCCAGGAAAGGCGCAAAGCTACACAGAGAAACCCTGTCTCGAAAAACCAAAAAAAAAAAAAAATGTAATAATTGTGGGTGGAGAGAAGGCTCAACAGTTAAGAGCACTTGTTCTTGCAAATGACCTGGATTCAATTCCCAGAACCCATATGACTGCTCACAGCTGTGTGTAACTCCAGTTTCAGGGGATTGGGTGCCCTCTTCTGACCTCCACAGGCACCAAACACATACATGGCATATAGACATATGTGTGCACAAAATACTCATACACATAAATAAACCTATTAAAAAGTAATAGTTGTATAGCTAGGCATGGTGGCACACACCTTTATTCCAAGCACTCAGGAGGCAGGTGGATCTCTGTGAATTTGAGGCCAGCCTGGTATACATAGTGAGTTCCAGGACACCCTGGGCTATGTAGAGAGATCCTGTCTTAAACAAACAACAAAATCATCAATCAATCAATTAATCAATAAAATAGTTGGGAGCCTAAAAAGACAGCTCTGGTTAAAAATAATGGTTGCTCATCCAAAGGACCCAGTTTCAGTTCCCAGAATCTACATGGTGACTCTGTAACTCCACTCTTAGGAAATCCAACTCCCTGTGCTGGCCTTTGTGGGCACCAGGCACACACATGGTACAAGTGCTCTTAACCACTGAGTCATCTCTCCACCCCCTCTTATCTTTTTAAAATGACACTCAGCAATATCCATTAAAAAAAAAAAAAAAAACTCCTGCTTTTCAGAGATGCACTTGTTCTTGCAGAGGATCCAGGTTCAGTTCCCAGCATCCTCATGGTGGTTCACAACCATCTGTAACTCCAGTTCCGGGAGGTCTAATGCCCTCATCTGACTTTCTCAGGTACCAGGCACATACATGATATACATATATACATGCTGGCAAACACTTGTATACATAAATTGTTTTAAAAAGACAAATACTTAGATGCCACACACACAGTTTATAATTTTATGGCCTTAATCTAGATTTATATACGTTGTATTCCTTAATGACTTGATAGATACAATTGCCAGTGATAACTTTCACTTTTAAACTTACTACTGGGTATTTCAAAGATTATATTCCACTCCCAGTATCATGTGTTACTTTGAATTTGATTATGAGTTTATATCCATTACTGAAATTTGTACTTTTAGATGTTTTTATGTTAATAAAAATATTTCTGTTTCTTGTTGAAGCACCTCCAATTTTTTTTTAAATGCTAGGCTAGTAGCTTAGCTTTTGCTGGTTTGAGATAATACTCATTAGAAAAAGAAAAAACTAAGATGACTTTTCAGGACATAAAATTCTTGGCTGGCTTTATTTTTTTTTTTCCTTCAACACTTGGAATATGTAATTCTGTTCTCTTATAGCCTGCAAGGTTTAATCTGAGAAGCCTGCTGAGACTCTCATGATGATTTCCTTATATGTAACTTTATATTTTACTCTTCTTTCAGAATTCTCCCTTTAGCTTTTGAAATTTTTGTTGTAATGTGCGTCAGAAAATAGTTTTTGGTTAAATCTATATAGAGTCTTTTGAGCTTCAAGGATATGGATGTTCTTCCATTCCCTATGACCTGGGAATCTCTCAGCTCCTATTTATTAAAGAAGTCTTCTGTGTCTTTGTGAATTTCCATAACATAAAGATTGGTCCGCTTAATTATATCCCTGAAATCCTAGAGACTTTATTCACTCTTTTTCATCCATCGTTTTAGATTATTTCAAAAGACCTGTCTGACCTATCTTAACATTTAGAAATTTTTGTTTGGTTTGCTCACAATCATCTCAATTACATGTATATTAAATTCATTGAGTTCTTTAGTTCTAATATTTCTACTTGGTTCTAGTCTATAATGCCTCTGTGTTACATTTGTTATTCAGGTAAGAATTGTTTTTCTGATTTCATTAACCTGTCTATCTGTATTCTCTTGTATCCCTCAGAGTTTCCTTATGGTCATTATTTTGAATTCACTCTCAGACAGTTCATACATTTTTCATTTCTTTGGAATCATTTGTTAGAAGAACAACTGTTACGGTTTTTTTGTGGGGGTGGTGTCATGTTTTCTTGCTTTTCAACTTTCTTGTACCCAAGTGTTATTATATATCTAGTAGTATGTCCACCTCCTCCAGTTTTGTAGAGGTTTTCGTAGGTGAAGACAATACATCTGTCGATATGTTTTAGTGCTGGGAGCCTGGCTCCAGACAGGTTTGATGATCCCCACTAGCCATTACCTTTTAGATCTATAACTCTACTGTTGGAAGCATAAGCCGTCTTGCAAGCTACAAAGTTTTCTAACTAGGCACACCCACAGGTAGAACAGTGTGCCCAGTTGGCAGCATTTGCAGTTACAGCATCATGCAGGGTGAGAGAGAGTTTTGTCTCTAATGGTTAATATTTACATCTGGTAGGGTCTGGATTCTCACAATCAACTCACCAGCTGAAGCTGGATCAATCCATTCTACTTTCTGTACAACTTCATCTCCTCTGGGGAGATACCAGGTTTTTCCTTTTATCCTATAGGCAACATAACTTGAAAACTTATTCTTAATAGTTGGCACTGTTTCTCCCTTGTTCTTAAGTTCTTGGGGTATTGGCACAGTTATTAGAAATGAGAGAACTGTGGGTTTCTATGATTCTACTTCATTCCCTGTCTCTAGACTGTTTCCATTAACTCCTGATATCATCTATTTATTAGCATTTCTCCAAGACACTTGTGATTAAAATCATGCTTTCCAGAACAGTTATGCAAGTACCTAATATTAAACTTCATGACCTACTGTGACTCAAGCCAGCAGTATGGCTAGGACAGTGAAAGCAAGGAGAGCAGGTAGCGCACATGCTCCAAGGGCCATGCCAGAATTATGCAGCGAACTGCCCATGGCTCTTTGCCAAGTGGATCCAGGTCTCCAGGGCTTTGCCACAGGAGAGCCATTCATGCAATTCTCAGACCTTGTTCTCCAAAGCAGTCACATGGCTCCCACCATTTTAAGATGGCTGGTAGGTAGGGTGTTCAGGCTTTGGTTCAAAGTATGTGCAGTAATGTAGTCTATGTGCAGCCTCTTTCAGCTATGTTGAACATGGTTGGTGAAAATGCTTTAGTGGTCTGAGCTATGGAAATGTGTCACACCGGTCTGCCAGCTCTGGGTGAGGTTTCCCTGGAACTGGTGAACTAGACTGTTAGGTATGCCCATTTTGTGTGTGGCCATTCTGGACTCAGTTCCTCAGAAACTGCCAAGGACTAGTTTCTTTTGGACACAGTGCAATGTGAACCAGTGCTAGAGCCCTGCACCTAGGCTTCAACAGGCCATGGTTGGTGGAGTGCCTCCTCAACGGTTTGTTCTAGGGGGTAGGGATCTATAGATGAGCTCTTTCTGTGGGAATGGTATTTTACCATGTGTGAAGTTTAATTTGGTATAATGGAAGGTAGACAGTAGCTACTAGCTGTCAGAAAAATGTGCTAAACTGATGCATCCAGTGTCAAGATGGTGGGTTCAGAAGCAAAAGTATGGTGTCAGTGGTAGACGACAACATAGATTCCTCCTTGGATAATGTATAAGTTCCAGACACCTCTCTAAATAGGGCCCAAGGCCTGTCAAAACTACAAGATTCTCCATCAGTATAGACTATAGGTGTCTACGTTATTAATGGGTACCACTATGGGCTTCCTAGATACCTCTTGTTTGTATAGGAAGTCTCTCTTCTTTCTGAGTTATCTCTACAGAGAATACAATATGGCAGAGAAAGGATATTGTAGTGGGTAGCTGTTCCAGCTTTGACCTGGAAGTACACTACCCCCATTGAGGCTCCTTTACTTGTAAGTTACCCCACAAAATAAACCTCCCTTTACGTGGAGTTGCCTTAATACTACAACCAATAGGATATTTTCATTCTATTTTATAGGGTCATCCTTAGCCTTCTTGTTCCATTGTGTACCTGCCACTTACCTGCTAAAATTCAGTATTTTCCCTTGCATATTCTATCCCCCAAATAGTTGTTTGTGTTTTGGTCTTCTTTTGGTGGGGAGCACAGGCATTAGGAACCTGTAGTTAGCCATCTTGCTGATGTCCCAGTTGTTATTTCTAATTGATTTCTTAAAAGGGTTTTGTCTATAATGCCTTCACTTATTGAGGATTCAATCTATATATGTCAAAAAAAAAAACCAAAAAAACCCCACAGTTCCAAGTGTGAAAATGTTCATGGGTTATGTTCAAGCTAACTTTCTTCAATTCAAAAGCATCATACTTTCCTTACATCATTCATTGGTTTCCTAACAAATAACTTAGCTTAACATCTAACTTTATAGAAAGAAATATTTCTCTATAAAAGTCATGCCTCAAAAGAAGTAGACCAGTGCTTAAGAGCACTGGCTGCTCTTCCAGAGGACCCAGGTTCAATTCCAGTACCCACATGGCATCTCACAACATCTATAATTCCTCTGCCTCCCAAGTGCTGGGATTAAAGGCATTCGCCATGTCCACCCAGCAAGAAAAAGTTTTAAAAGGGAGCATAGGTAAATTTGTAAAAGAAGAAAAGAAGATGGATATTCCAGTTGTCCTAAAAAAAATTTATTTTACCAAGTATAATGGCTACTCTTACTGTCATTTTGATTGGATCAAGAAATACCTAGGAGGGTCTGGAGAAATGGCTCAGAGGTTAAGAGCACTGGCTGCTCTTCCAAAGGTCCTGAGTTCAATTCTCAGCATCCACATGGTGGCTCATAACCATCTGTAATGAGATCTGGTGCCCTTTTCTGGCCTGCAGGAATACATGCAGTCAGAACACTGTATACATAATAAATAAATAAATAAATAAATAAATAAATAAATAAATAAATAAATAAATAAATAAATAATAAATAAATAAATAAATAAATAAATATTCTCAAAAAAAGAAAGAAAGAAAGAAATACTTAGAAGATTAGTAAAACACACCTCCGGGTGAGGCCCAGCTTTTACTAAGGGAGGAAAGGCCCACCCTAAACGTGAGCTACACTATCTCAGTCTCGTAGGCGGAGCCCTGGATAGGACAAACCGGTAAAAGGGAGAAAAGCAGCTGGCAGTCATTCTGTTTCCAGGCCGTCATGAAGTGAGCAGCTCTGCCCCACCCCACCTTCCCACAAAAAAAAAAAGTCAATTAAAAATCATATTTGTGTCTGCCTGCATATCTCCCTGATGTGGAATTGATTGGTTGTAGGGTAAGTCTTCCTTTCAAACCAGAACCTTGTTTCCTTTCCATTCCCTAATGTTTGACAACCAGTACAGAACAGAGGAAGCAATAGGGACTTGGAATTGGAAGCAATTCAGGCCCCTCCTAAGGTGCCAGAGAGGCTACTAGATGTTTGCTTGGGATGCAACAGATTACACAAGTCTCTGCCTTTGAAATGAGACGTCTAAAGTGGCTATAATTTACTTAATACTAAAGGTGGACTTTCTGTCTAGATAAGAGTGAAAATTAAATGTTATACACTGCCACCTTCCCTCTGATAATTGTAGTTCTGTACCGAAGTTATCAAGCTGGTGTTGGCCTTGCTTCATTTAGGAAAGTGGGGTAAACATTGCAAGTCCATTTGTGATCATTGCAAAAGGCAATTTGGGGGGTGAAATGTTAGTAAATATCCTCTGTAAAGTTAGGAAGTTGAGACACTACAAATGAGGTACTACATGAGTCGTATCTCCTAAAGAGATGGTTCATAAATGTATTGCTGATAGGACAAGGTTTTCCTCAGCTGGCCTTGACATTAAAAAAAAAAGTCTCTTGGGGCTGGAGAGATAACTCAGCACTTAAGAACACTCCTGAAATCTTGAGTTTGGTTCCAGCACCCACATCAGGCGGCTCACAAACACCTGTAGCTCCATTTCCAGGGTATCCAACACCCTCTTCTAACCTCTGTGGGCACACATGTGGCATACACACATAAATAAAAATTTTAGAAGTATTTTTAAACTAAGTACAGTCAAGGATATTAGGAGATTTTTATCAAAGAAACATTGTAATATGAGTACTAATAAAACTAATATTTCAAACATAAATACTCCCCTGCTCACCAATTCAGTTCCCCATAATTTGAATAAGCAATAAGAGTACCTTAAGTATAAGCATACTCTAACTCAATTGGAAGATATACCTCTCTGTGAATTTTTTATTTTCTTTTGAGGGGTATATCCAGGCGGGCCTCAAACTCACTGTGTGGGTGAGGATGACCTTGAACTTCTGATCCTCCTGCCTCCACTTCCCTGATTGCTGGAATTATAGATGTGTATCCTGTCTGTAATTTAAATTGATATTTGGTTTATCATTTAATCTCAAGAGTTTTAGTAGCTTGAATGAGTTGCTCATCTTTTGAATAAGTTAACCAAACAAATTTATTTGTGCCCATAAAGCTGAGAACCTTGTCCTTAATTCATCAAAGTGTTGACACTGTTTGGTAAGCAGCCAGTCCATCTAGGAGATGATTTTGTGTTGTCATAGGGGAAAGTCAAAGGCCAATATGAAATCTTTTTTTTTTTAATGAAGTATGATAAAGGGCTAAAAAATCTCAGTTTGTGTTTTGAAGAAAATGAAAATTTTGAATCACTTGAAGGAAAGTTGACATGTCTGAGTGATAATGAACTTATAATTTCAATACACTGGGGATAATGAGACAGGGTCTCAATATGTAGCCAAGGTTAACTTTGAACTCATGACACCCTTGCTTCTGTCTCCTGAAGTAGTTCTGTGTTTACAGGTATGTATCACTATGCCCAGCATAACAGGACTTATTTCTAATAAAAATGAAAACCTCTGCTAGCAAGCAAAACAGATTATTTCAGACCTTAATTAACAGTAGGCATTCATATACTAATCTCAATTCATTATAGTGGTAAAAATAATTTTTTGAAATAAAGAGTACTGTTTTAATAGTGTTAAGATTAGGAGTCCAAGGCCCTTAGGTTAAATGAAAAGTTCAGGGTAGTCACTAGTAGTTAGATTTTATATTATTGTCTTTTGTTCTCATTGCTCTATCTAATGTAATTGGTTCCGAAAATCTCAGGTCTGCCAGAGTCTCTCAGGGTCTTAGTTAAGAGGTGGTTTTCTTGAAACAGAATGTGGATTATATACTCAGCTAACACAGTTGGCAGAAAATGAAACTAATCATCTTAGGGCTTTGGAGACTTGTTTTTACAGTCAGAGGGGAAAAGATGAGAATTAGGCTGGAGTATGAGCTGGCAGTAATGATATCTACACTCTGGTAACCAGCTCTGGCTTGAATTAACTATAGGTCTTTGGATACCCTTTCAAAGTACATGAAGTTTAGTTTCTCCTTTTGTAAAGTGAAGGAACTTTATACTTAAAATACTAACATCCTATGAACTCACAGAACTTTGCCAATTGAAAAGCACATTTGAAAACTCTCCCAGGGTTCAGTGAGATGGCTTAGCACTTGCTCCCAAGCCTGACATCTGGAGTTTGGTCCCCAAGACGCATATGGTGGGAGGAGAGAACTAGAACTGACCGCCTCAGCACACCACACATCCAACATTGTTTTTAAGAAGGTCTACCTTCCTCCCATCTTCAGGCTCTTTCCTTTACCCCAGTAATTGTTTCCTGGCTGTGCAGAAGCTTTTTAATTTGGTTGAATCCCACGTGTCAATTTGTGCTATTTTGTCCTGAGTTACTGAAAACCCGTTCCGAAAACCATTGTCTGTATTTATATCTGGAGGTGTTTTTCCATATGATTTCTTCTAGCGTGTTGCTCTTTCATGAAAGGCTTTGACACACTTGGATTTTTATACAGAGAATACAGAGGAAGGGTCTAGTTTCAGTATTCTCCATGTGGATATCTGGTCTGCCCAGCCCTGTTTGTGAAGGTGGTGTCTTCTGTCTAGTATGTGCTTTGAGAATCTTGGTCAAGCGTCGGTGGCTGCAGCTCGTTGGGTTCACTTCTGGGTCCTCTGCTCTGTTCGCTTGGACTCTCTGACGGTTCCCATGACTGTACAGTGTTGGTTTGGTTGCTATGGCTTCCTAAACCAGACGCCATGTTCCTTCCAGCGCCGCTCCTTTTGCTCAGAATTGCTTTGGCCATTCAGAGTCCTTTTGTGCTTCTACTTGAATTTCCTGATTCTTTTTCTCTAGTTCTATGAAGAATCTCGCTGGAATTTTGATGGGATTGCTATGACATCAATATTCAGAATATATAAAGAACTTGAAAAGTTAAGCACAAAAACATAAATTTAAAAAACTGTTTTCAATATAAGGAAAAATAATTCAATTAGTACATGAGCAAATGAATTATAAAAATTATCAAAAGAAGTACAAGTAGACAATAAATACATGGTGGGGGAAACACCTAAATCCCTTGACTATAAAGGAAATCAAATTAAAACCACACTGAGATTCCAGCTCAGCCCAGTTAGAGTGACTGTTATCAAGAAAAAAAATGCTTCTAAGAATGCAAGGGGGGCGCGGGCGGTGGTGGCGCACGCCTTTAATCCCAGCACTCGGGAGGCAGAGCCAGGCGGATCTCTGTGAGTTCGAGGCCAGCCTGGGCTACCAAGTGAGTTCCAGGAGAGGTGCAAAGCTACACAGAGAAACCCTGTCTCGAAAAACCAAAAAAAAAAAAAGAATGCAAGGGGGAAGCAGCACCCTTGTATACTGTTGGTGGGGAGGTAAATACGTCCGCCACCATGGAAACAACGTGGGAATTCCAGACAAAACTAAGTGTAAAGTCAAGTAAGATGGCTCAGCAAGGAAAAGCAGTTGTCACGTGTTTGGCAACCAGAATTCCATCCCTGGAACCCACCTACAGGTGGGAGGAGAGACCCCTGTCCCACTAAAGTTTTCCTTTGACCTTCACACATGTGCCATGGCCCACATGCCCTCCCCTCACATATCATGCATACACACACAAAACAATAACTTTTTTAAAACCAAGAATAAGGCTACCACATGACCCTGCTGCATACTACACCTTAGCATATGCGGAGGACTCAATCAGCACACAGTAGAAATACCTGCACATTCTTGTCTATTGCAACACTATTTATAATAGCTAAATTATAAAATCAGCCTAGAGGCCCATTAATGGATAAACGGGTAAAGAAAATGTGTATATATGTGGGGAATCAGTCAACCATAAAAAATTAAATTGTTATTTGCAAGAAAGTAGATATGGAACAATAGATATAGACCACTTTTAAGTGAAATAAGCCACTCTAAAGGACAAGATTTTTGTGTTGAGGGAGCTAATATGGCCAAAGTATTTTGTATAGATGTATAACCATGTCATGATAAAACCCATCACTTTGTGCAAATAATATGTACTAATATTGTAAAATTTTATCTTTAAAATTAATTTTAACATGTTTTAATTGACATAGAATTACATCAGTTTTCTGCCTCCCTTTCCTCACTCTAGCCCCTTCAAGTACCTGCCTTCCAACAACCTCCATGTCTCCCCCATTCTCAAAGCGGATGGTGTCTTTTTCTTTGATTATTATTGTTAAATACATATATGTGTGTGTATGTATGTATATGCACAAATATAAATATAGAACTTGCTGAGTCTGGTTTTTTTTGTTGTTTGTGTATTCATTGGACAACCAATGGGGTGCTCATCCCTGAGAGGGACTAATTGTCCTTCTGTCAGCAGTCATTAGTTACCTATGACATCGGATGGTTCATAATCACATGTAGCTCCAACTCCATGGGACTCTAATGCCTCTGTCCTCTGCAGACACCAGCGCCAGCACTGGTGTACATACTGCCCCCCAATGCAAGATACATATTTAAAGTAATAAAAATCATTTTTAAAACATAAAATGCATTTTAAGAACTTAACTTTCCCCTTGGAGGAAAAAAATTATTAATTAATTGGCTTACTTTGCCCATTACCAGAGAAGTACAATTATTTTTTATTACTTTTGTTTAGTTATAATTAAAATTCCTGAGAGAACAACTTGAAGGAAAAAGAGTTAATCTAGCTCCCTGTTTCAGAGGGTTCAGTCCGTGGTCATTTGGCCCCATGCACTTGGGAAAGACATCATGACAAAAGAAGTATACAGAATTTCTTTGACTTAATAGCAGACAAAAGTCAGAGAGAGGAACCTTTAAAGGCACATACCATAGGGCCTACTACATACAGCTAGACCCATATTCACCAAAGTTTTCACATCTCCCCAAATAGCGCTACCAGCTGTAGGTTAAGCATTTGACACATGAACTTTGGGAGTCATATCATATTTAAGCTATAAAAAAAAATCCTTGTATGATATCATTTACTAAACTTACGTTAAAGCCTATGTTAAAGGCACTGTGTAAGCTGATTAAAATGAAAAGATGAACAAGACATAGTTCTGTGTCTTGAAGAGTTCATCATCTGATGAGAGAGAGATCTGAGTAGATGAACAAAATTGCGACATAGTTCATTAAGTGCTATGATATAAGTAAGAGTTGAGAACAAAAATTCTCAAACCTAGCCGGGTGGTGGTGGCACATGTCTTTAATCCCAGCACTCAGGAAGCAGAGGCCAACAGATCTCTTGAGTTCAAGGCCAGCTGGTCTACATATCAAGTTCCAGGAGAGCCAAGGCTACATAGTGAGACCCTGTCTCAAGAACAAAAACAAAACTCAAACCTGAATGAACATTAGAATTTTCTGAGGCTCTTACTAAAAATTACGAATGTTTTTGTCTTAGCTCTCAAAGATCTTGATTTAAATCACCTGGGGAGTGACCTTGTGATAATGCTATTTTTCAGAGTCTACAAGGAGATCCCAGTACACAGTAAGGATTAAAAATCACTGGGAGAGAAAAAGATACTAAACTTAGTTCTTAAGAAAAATGGAGGCCAGTCATAGGGGCGGACATCTTTAATCCCAGCACTTAGGGGGCTGAGGCAGATAGATCTCTGGTCTACATATCGAGTTCGAGGAGAGCCAGGGGTACATAGCGAGACCCTGTCTCCAATAAGTAAATAAATGAAATAAATAGAAAAGAAAAGAAAAAAAGGAGAGATGGCTCTGTACGTAAACCCTTGTTGTACACACATGGGGCCCAAGGTTCCCAGAACCCATGTAAAGCCAGATGTGGTAGTGTGTACCTCTATTCCCAGCACTCCCACAGCAGAGTGGGAAGTGGAGACAGGAGAATTACCCAGAGGCTAATTCTCACACCAGTTAGCCTTGTCTCTGCATCAGTGATGAATAACAGAGCCTGTCTCAAACAAGGGGGAAGGGTGACCTCTGACCTCTGCATGTACACCACAGCACATGTGCACACTCACACAGAGATTAAAGAGAAAGGGGAAGTTGTCAAGACAAGGAGAAAAGAGTTTTTTCAGCTTTGTACCTAGAACCCATGATGCACCGGGGGAACTGGAAATAGTTCTGTAAAGCTTACTCTAAGACTGTGAGGAAAAGGGAAACTGAAAGATGAGACTGGAGAGCTAAGCAGGAGACGGCTCAACTATTGTCTGTGAAGGATTTGGACTTCATAATAAAAGGGGTGTGGAGTGACCTGATCTCATTTCTCTTTTAGAAAAAATAGTTTCTGTGGTATTGTGAGAGATGGATTAGAGAGCCTGGAAGCAGGAAAGCCAGTTAATAGACTGTGGTAACTCAGGCAGAAAAGGAGGCCTAAACTAAAAACATAATGCTGGAGAGTACGAGATATTCAAGGACTAGAAAGTAAGGACTAGCTAACAAGCAATATGATGTGAGAGAGTAAGAGCCATGTAGGGAATGTAGTTCTCTTTATTTTTTTACCTGAAGCTTACTTATCAACAGTGAATTAAATACTTCAGAGGTAGAAAATAACTTTCTGTGAACTTAACAATAACCAATGTGATTTGAATCCAGTCATTTCATCCCAAATTTACCAGTGTAATTAGAGGCAATTTACAATCCCTAAATGACTGAAGTCCCAACATGCTTAGGGCCAAATGTGCAACGTTTCTCCCCCCAGATTGGTGGTAGACTGGGAAATGGAACTAAAATCAAGGTTTGAGAGATTTTAATGAACAGAAATGGCTGTACCTAGTCTTTAACTCTGTCCAAAGCAAATGGAGTGAAAGCCTTCTAATCCTTCAGAACTTCATCTGGCATTGACCTCAGAAAAAAGAGCCTCTCTCCAACATCATCAGACTGACTTTCTGTAGTTCCTTCTTGCTCTTCTGTGTAGTTCTTTGATCTTGGGATTGTCTTTAAAATAGAAGGAGAAAAACAAGAGGGGAAACATTCAAATGAGTGCTTTGCAAATATAAAAAATAATAAATTAGAATGCATTTTAAATGCATTACAGGGCTGGGTTGTTGCTTATGATCGCGCTCTTGGCTGCCATGCACAAGGCCATGGACTGGATCCTGAGCATGGCAAAAGTAGATCAATAAATGTACAAACAAAGAAATGTACTGCAAAAATCTATACCCATTATCCAAGCCTTTTAAAATTAGAGGGTTTTTTGTTTTTGTTTTTAATAAAGGAAAGCTGTTCTCTCACCATATTGGGCTCAATTCTGTTGGTTGTTGCTTTCTCTGTAGTTGTACCCATTTTACCTGGTGGAAGACATTGGAAAATGAGGGCTATTAACATTCATTATGGCATTGCTTAATTGTACAACTATGGGACAAATAGTAACATTGATATGAATTTTCAAGTAATTCTAGAAAATAACAGAATATTTCAAAGTTGGGGTGGTAGGTCTTTTTTTTCTACTGAAAGCTTATGTTCTATAGTGGGAAAACTTGTTTGAGAATTACATGTAAATAAAAACCTTGAGAGTCTTCAGAAATGAAGCCCTAACATTTAAAAGAAGTGGGATGATAAACCAAGTCTCTCTCTCTCTCTCTCTCTCTCTCTCTCTCTCTCTCTATATATATATATATATATATATATATATATATATATACACACACACACACATACATATACACACCCACTGTGATAAGCTAGACATATACTACACAAGAATAGTCATGTAGTAAAGAACAAAACACCAAGGTGAGGTTCAGAAAGAGAAAGCAGCAGCAGCAGGGCGGATGACAGATGCAGGCTGAAATGGGAGGCAAGAAAGGGAGAATTGTAGGGTGCTTCCTAGTCAGCATGTCTAGGGTAGGTCTAAATGAGAGGAACTCTGTTAAATTTGAATTTCAGTGTACGCCAGTAATTTTTAGTACACGTTCCATGCAAAACTTGAGACACTGATAATAATTATCCATTGCTTAGCTGAAATTCAAATCTGTCTCTTAAAAAACAAAAAATGAAAACATGCTGCACCTCTCCTGAGCACTTGATGTGAACAGGTTGAGCCATTGTCACCCATGAAAACTGTCTTAATCAGGGTGCAGTGTACTTTTTAAATTTTTTACTAATTTCATATTTAGAAAAAAAGCTGACTTTATTCTTCCTGTCTAGACTTCTGTAAGATTTTATGGAAAACAGAAGAAATTACGAATCAGTTTCATCTCCTTTTAATACCACAAATACAGCTTTAATGTTTCGAGGGTTCAGGTTGCCTCGAAGCTTATAGACTAGTTAAGAGCAATACTCTTTGTGAAAGCTCTAGATTTGAGCCAGTTGTGGTTTGTGTCTCTGCCTCCTGAAATGTGAGCCATCAGGATGAGGAATGAATGAAGGGAAGTAAAGGTGAGAGGAAGACCTTGCTTTCAGAACAGAGGGTTAGTGAGTAAGTAAGTTTTCAGTCATATTCATTTTCCACTTCAGTGGGCTTCCATGTCAATTTACAAATGTAGCACCATCTCTCCATCCAGACTTCAGGTCCTTCTCCTAAGGAGAACCTTCCATCTCTGCTCAGAAGGCTCACAGAAATGCTGAGAAGAGCCTGGGATGTGGGAGACGAAAAGTAAGACTGTCAAAATCAAATAGCTTATCACAGATACGTTATCGCTGAAGACAAGCCCTTAATTCTCTAAACACCAGCAGGTGTGATGGGAGATTCATCTGAACTTAGAGGTTGCTTAGTGCCTGTGTTTTCTAAGATAAGTGAGTAGCAAAGGCTACAAACTGCAGTTTTGACATAGTACATGCCAGGGAGTGAGGGGTGACACAAACCCTGAGCCAAATTATAAGAAGCAAACTCCTTCACTTGTGACCTGTCTCTGGGGGCTAAAGAAAGGAAAGACTATCCCTGAGTGAAAACAACAGAAACATTTTCTTGTAGAAGATCAGATGACGCCCAGAGCTAAGACTCTGGTGATGCTGAGTCCCAGGCTTCAGGGAATTTCTCAAATAGGAATTGCTTGAACTGTAACAAAGACTCTAGTATTTACCAACAAAATAGAAGGCACCATTAACTCAGCCAGACTGCCCACTGAACAGGGAAGGAGGGATTCTTGGCTAAGACCATTGGAGCAAAACTTCCTTCTACTTGGAAATATCTGAAAAGGAAAGACCTGTGTTTGCCTGATTAGCCTAGGAGGTATGTTCAAAATGACACGCCACCCTTCCTCTATGACAAGTTTAAGCAATTCAGTTCTTTTGAAACTAGAAGAACCAGAATGCCATCCAAAAGGGCTATTAAGTACTTAACCTTCAAATAGTCCTTGTGTAATAGCCCAGCCCCTTTTTACTTCATTGCCCTAATTGCCTGATTTATTTGTGGCAGGGAGAAAAAGTCTTAGACCAGAACTATGGGGGAAGTAGGCAATTGCTTTTGTTTTTTGTTTCTTTGTTTGGAATGGGGTGAAGGATATAGTTCAGGGAGGGGAATAATAACAGTTAAGAGTTGTACAACAGAACCCCAATTTTAATGTTTAATCAAGGCTGCCAGTAATACATCTTGGTGCCACACAGCATGACACAAAACATCAATAGGTTCTTTTCTTCGTTTTTCATTTGGTATATAAATGTGGCACATTTTGTCCTAAGGGTAATAGAAAACCAGTCTCCTACAGCATTTCACGTTTCCTGAATTACCATTTGTTATGGACTTGGCATAGATGTGGTTGGTGCCACCTACCGGACTAAATATATAATTACAGGCCTCCCAACCTATTTGTAAACATTCTCTGAAAACAGCCTTAGGGACTATGATTCTTCATTGGGAGGATGATACTATAAATAGCTAAGTTTGGATTCCCATCACAGTTTTTAGGACTGGAAGAGGCATAATAAATCAAACTTTCACACTGCCATTGTATCATTCAGTCCAGAACCCCAGCTTTAACTAGGAACACAGAAGCCTGACTTTTCTGAGTTTGCTTGTTCCATATTTCAGATCTTACAGTGTCATTATAAGGGTTACACAAAGTGGCAAGTTTTAAATGTGCCCTGTTACACGTGATGGTTGTAAATATTAGATACAGAAAAATTGAAATCAAATAACTTTCCCATGTCATGTAAGGGCTACAACACATGCATCTATCTGACCCTAGAGCCATGGCTTTTCCCATTAAATTAAAACTTCTCAGAGTTTGGTAGTGAAATAATTTTAGGTGACACCTGTAATAAATTTAAGAGGTGTTGTAACATGTCTTTAGATCCTGTAAATCACAGTGGGGAAAAATTGTTTTTTTGAAACAAACTCTCCACCCAGGCAGACCTGGCCCTCTAGTGCCTTATTCCTCCACCTCCTACCTGCTGGAATCATAAACAGTTGCTTCTGCACCCAGCTCAGTTTTTTTTTTTTCCAATGCTTTGGACTTGAGAGCACCAAGGAGAAAGTTTAAAGTTGGGCCTGGTTTCTTTAAAATGATCAGTCTTGTTAATCTTACTTTCCAATAATGATGAAACAGGCCCCAGGCTTGACCATCTTTCCTGGATAATTTTTTTTTGTTTTGTTATTAGTAAGTTTACTTGTGAAAGCTATATTGTTTTGTCGTTTAGTAATTCGAATTTTGTGCCGGAGCATGGTAGCTCCTGCCTGTAACACTGGCTCTTAGGAGGCTGAAGTAGAGGGATCACTGCAGGTCTGAGGTCAGCATGGGCTACATAGAGAGATCATGTTTTGTCTTGTTTATTTGAACTTTCTTTTTCAAGAAATGCATGTATGAAAATGAAATCAACTTGAGTGGCAAAAATGAGTAAATAAGCAACAGTCTAAAGAAGTTGAAAAACAGTAATACTACCACATTACTTTCCTATTGTTGATAATAGTGTGTTTATTTTAACAATTCTCCCATTGTCTTAGTTTGTTTTCTGTTGTGAGAAAAAAACATTCTAACCAAAAGCAACTTGAGAAAGAAAGGGTTTGTTTGGCTTACAAGTCCAAACCACCGTCTATCATGAAGGGAAGTCAGGGCAAGAGTGCAAAGCAGGAATTAGATTCGGGAATTAAAGCAGAGACCATGGAGGAATGTTACTTACTGGCTTGCTCAAGCCACTTTCTGATACAACCTAAGACTACCTGCCCAGGGGTAGCACTATCCACAGAGGACTGGGCCTTCCCAGATCAGATATTAATCAAGAAAATGCCCCAAAAGTCAATCTGATGGAGACATTTTTCTCAGTTGAAGTTTCCTTCTCCCAGATGACCTTATCTTGTGCCAAGTTAACAAAAAAAAAAAAAAAAAAAACAAACAAACAAACAAAAAACACTAACCAGCACATCCACCATAAGAACTAGCACTTCTGGGTTTTTTTTTTATAATAAAAAAATAGAGTTTATAAATAAGTCAATATAACCCAAATCTATGACTGTTAGATTTCAGATCCATTTTGGCTCAAATAAACCAAAGGATTTTGAATATGTGTGGGCACATAGTCTCTGCTTAGTGAATACAGTCAGTAAACCATGGGATCGATGGATGGCTCCTGCCGATGCCTATGGTAATATGTAGTGGCTGAGCACTACAGAAACCTATCACTTCATTTGCTAGAAGTGAAAGAGAAGGTGTGGATCTATGGACTGCCCCAGTTCAAACTGATTGAGTGTGCTGTGAGTATGTACAGGGGAGTCTCCTGAGGCACTCAGGATGAATGGTATCACTAATGGGGGACTGACTTAAATCTGGAATTTAAAAACTGTCTCCTTACTCTGTGGACCCCTTGAGATGGTCTTTGGCTAATTTTCAATGACACAAAACCACAGCTGTCTGTTTTCCTCATACTACTTCTTTGTCTTTTTAAATTTCTATATTAATGACTTACTGCCTCCAGGCTCTTTCCAACTTCCTGCTGTCCACTTCTTCTCAAAATATAAGTAGAATGAAAAATATGTGTGGAACTCTGCCTGGGGACATGTAGTCCATCCAGTTTTCTAGATTTTCCAAATTTTACCTATTGAAGAAGATAGAGTGCTGTGTACCTGGACCAAATCATGCTAAGTTGCTGCATTCTATTAAAAAAATTTCACAATAATGACTTCTTACCATATTGTATCAAGGAACAGATAAGACACAGTCTAGGAACTTTCGATTCTGGATTCATTTTGGAACTATTATTGAGGATATTGACTACTGACCTTTCTGTAGTGAAGTCTTGTTTCCTCTATGAAGGCCTGCAGGAGAAACCACTCTCATGTCTCAGTACCATGAAAGTCTGTATTTGTCCTGATCAACTGTTTTGTTGTTACTTCATGAACACTGACAATCCGTGTTTGCTGGTGAATTCAGAACCAAATTTATAACCTACCTCCACTAACTAAATATCATTTCTATCGTACATTATCATGTTTTGACAAAACCTATCTTCCCCCTCACCTATTTATTTAATCATATGTGTTGTGTGGGATTTTTATAAGACATTCAAGTCCTTAATGGACTAAGACTGAGAAGAAATTAGATACATGTGTACCGATACCGGTAAAGCATTGCTACTCTTGGGACAAGATTTCTCGTGGCATGTCTCTTCTTAAAAATAAGACTTCAGATTAATAGATCCTTGGAAATGTAAGAATCCTTTCCCTACACATCATAACCATTATTTTACTTTTTATGAAATACTATGATTTCCTATGATACTGGAACGTCTTTAGGGGAAATCACTGATATTTCCAGAAATACATCTGAATTAGTGAATTCAGAGCCCTTGCCAACTATCTCCTACGCCTTCAGCTCTTAAGTAACAGTCTATTCAATATGACTTATGAGACCAGTTCTAGTTCTAGGGGTAGGGGGTAAAGGTGAAAAGAAACTAAATATTTTTGAATGTCAACTCTTATCATCTACATATACTAAGGATATGGTATATTTATGCTTACAAAGGAAAACTTAATGTCTTCCACAAAGAATCCTTATCTTAATACAATCATTACTGAATACTATTATTAATGATGATAATGAAAAAATGTATCTACACCACATTTAACTTACACTGTGTGCCAGGGCACTGTGATGCTTACTGTTAATAATGGGACCTTCAGTGTAATAGACAAAACAAAACCTCCAACTATGTACCTCTGATACTCTACCCACCTTGAGGCCTCAGAAGATTCAAAGCTTCTTGCATTGGCTCAAAATTATGCTGTAGGTACAGTGATAATTTTAGGTCATTGGCCTTCTGGTAGTTCCTCAAGGCTTCAATTCTCAGCTCAATCACTTTGCCATGGAAGCCATTCTGAAAGAAAACATTTTTTCAAAACATTCTCAATACTGACTTTTCTAAATTTACTATTACCTGTGTTTCTTTATACAGATGTTAAAAAAATAAAGCCCTCATGTTTTGTCTTTTAGAGTTAGGAAGATAATATATGTTATTTTTCCCCAATTTCAAATAGTACAAAATCAAAAACATGAAAAGAAGTATTTATTCCAAATTATGCAAGGTAAATCCAGAGATAGGTGACTTCAGCTCTCTCCCACAATCCAGTTCTTTTAACAGGCGATGGAGGATGTGAGAATTGGCCTTAACAATATGAAGTTAAAAGCTTTTACATTGTATAAATAAATGGATCCCATGTTCAACTTTGGAAAACCTTAGTACCTGAAGGATGTTGGGATGTTCCTCATATTTGACCCATTCAATTTTCCTCTGTTGCTTTTCCTGGTGGAAGAAAGACCTTCTGGGTGACAAAGTAAATTGAGATAAAGATCAGTTTTCTCAATATCCTGCAACAGCCTTATAGCAAAATTATAGTATCATAGATTCCCTGTTAGGCTGGTTTTTATTTCACAGTCTTCTTGATTTGACCTCCCCATATAGTGCATTCTCTAAAAACTAAGAGATGAATGAACAGTTCATTTTCTGTGAATGATTTGTTTGGGGGAAGATGAGATGCAAATGTAGTATCTCTAAATAAATTTCCACGATAAGCCGGGCGGTGGTGGCGCACGCCTTTAATCCCAGCACTCGGGAGGCAGAGCCAGGCGGATCTCTGTGAGTTTGAGGCCAGCCTGGGCTACCAAGTGAGTTCCAGGAGAGGCGCAAAGCTACACAGAGAAACCCTGTCTCGAAAAACCAAAAAAAAAAAAAAAAAAAAAATTTCCACAATAAATTAACAAGTGCTCTGTGTGTATGGAATTGTCATTGTTGGGATGGATTTTCTCATTTTAAGATAGCTAACATGATTTTGCAGAAACCTGTGGTGCAGGGCTAACATAAATATAGTATCCCAAAGATACTACATTGCTTATAAAATTTGCATCAATTTAGGAGCACAGCACACCTTAAGCAGATAATTGATTTATAATTGATTTATAATCAGTTACAAAAGTCACTCTGCTCCGAGAGGTTGTGCTCCTACCCTTCTTATCTCCTCCACATTCTCTGCATCTGATGTCTCTGGCTCACTCTTGGCCTTCCTAAATGATACGGGGGATTCCAGAGCCTAAGAGAGAGAACACAAGAGCTAAAGGGATAGATGATTCCAGATGGGAAAATGCAGTTTCGTGGCAGACTAGAAATCAAATATACCCTAAAAGTCCTGATCCCCAAATTAACCCTGATTATTAAAGGGTGGTTTCCAACTGTCTGTCATCAACTTCTGTGACATTCTGAGTCCACTCACCTTTCCATCTTTCAAGTCTGCTTTGGGCTTTGTTGGGACTGCTTTCTGTTGATCCTGGGGCTCTTCTGACTCAACTGTCTGTGGAGAGACATTGCGGCAAAGCTTTAAGTTAGTGGTAATTGTGAAGTCAAGGCTTTTGGTTCCTGCCCGTCAGCAACTTCTCAGGGCTCAAAATGGAAATCATATACCTACCACAGGGGATTCAAAATGGTTCCTTAATGTTCCTTATAATAATAATAACAACTATTAAGTGAACCCACATAATATACCACTGACCGCTGAGTTTCTCACCTCATTACTTACTTTCACTACCACATTACAGTCCTTGTTTGATCTTCCCAACTCTGGGGACTGTTTTTGTTTCCATTTTATCATTGATGAAATGGAGACTTTGAAAGGCTAAGCCACCTGTTAATTGTTGTATAGCTGGGGAAGTACATGGAGCTAGAGTTAAAACCGAATTGTTCTGACTCTGAAGCCTCTGTTCTTAGCCATTGTGAACAATTTGAAATGTGAAAATGTTTTAATAAAATATATATGTCACAGTTAAGAAAGGAAGAGAAGAGGGGGGGAGGATTTTTAAGAGGGGAGGCTGGAAAGGTGGGTACAGACCAATTAAGTCACAGGAGGGTGGCCTGTCAAGGGTTTTCATCGGGTGACTGAAACACTTCCAGTGTTTTTTAAAGATCACTTTGTTATGCAAATGGAGCGGGACTGGAGGAAGAGACCTGAAACACTGAGGATGAGGGGCTCTTTGCATTATCTGTAGGACAATACTTTTGAGAGATCCTTAGAGGCACACCTTGTTCCATAGCATCTCCATTTCCTTCCGGAGCATCTTGTTTTTCTTTTCCTATTAGAAGAAGAAGAACCAAACAAACAGATGTGTTTGTCCGACAGTTAAATCAAGTTAGAAAAAAAACAGCTGTCTAACTAATGGTAGGAAGGGGATTTGTGGACACAATAAACCACAAAGGAAGATAATAAATGGACCTAGCATTTCGTACAGAAACATAAAAGATGATTTTTGATGATGATGATGATGATGATGATGATGATGATGATGGTGATGGTTAAAAAGTTATTTCAAGAAATAACTTTTTTTGGTGGTTGTGAGATGTATCAGAAATAAATTCTTAACATTTAAGGTGCTTGTATATGACAGTCCCTTGAGGATTTAGAGCATTAACTTCTAATTTTTAAAGATCCTTTACATATTGACTTCAAAAAGATCTGAGACTTTCAAAACAAATTTTTTTCTTTTAATTTGATAGGTATTTCTAATCCTTAAAAGTTAATATGCTTATATCCATTAACCATTAAATGAAACTTTTTTTTAGGTCAAAAAAAGTAGAATCTTTCTAGCTAACCCCTGCTCTTTCCAAGATCCAGCCTGATTTCCTTAGTATCACCTTGGATTTCCTAGATCAAAGAGATACACATTGTTGAAGCATCAGAGGCTAGAGATGAGCATCTGTTATTTCTGTATGTGTCAACAGCGGTTCAAGAAGCCATGCCCTGTATCTACTAACAACATCTCACCAGGTTCTGTTTCATCTCCTCTGCTTCCTTAATAAGCTCCATGACTGAAGATTCATCACATCCTTTCCCTGCCATGATTTGCCTCATGATCTGCAGACTAGAAGAAAAGAGAGAAATCATAAAGTTTACATGCCCTTTAAAACATAAAGTTAATATCTGCAATCAGTCAGGAAGTAGTCTTCATGGAGGTTCATTGGGGGCTCAAATCCCAGGAATTAGAGAAGTCTTGAACATTGAAAGTCTCTGTCACTAGCATGATTCCATTCCTAATTAACATTAGGTCTAGGTATGTGATCAGTAGTGAATTCTGTGCTCTTTAATATCAAAACAAAGGTCTCTAACAACCACTGAAAGTACTTTCCACTCTGAAAAGAATGTTTTAGTGTATGACTTGAGTGAAGGAGTGTTTTGGCCTCTGTATAGAAGAAATTGGAAACCATGACATCTTTCAAATTAGTTTCAGAACTATTCCCTGTCTCACAGATAGGATAGATCCACTTCCTTCTACCAGCTCGGATTCAGTATCAAGTCTGACTATTAGAAGGATACTGTTTAAAGGCAATCATTAATTTATATTTTTGTTGTCTTTTTTTCTCTCTGGACCTGAGTAGAATGCCCTGTGTAACATGCTCTCTTGCCCCAAGAGAAATCTATATTGCTGGTTTGCTAACAGCTGATGTTTGACCACCTCTTGCTGGTTTTTGTTCTCCTGAAGTCTGAGTTCCTTATGGGCTTGGGATAAGGGTATAGAGAGAAGACAGATCAACTGAAGTGGCATTTTCTATGACCAAAAAGGAAACAGAGACTTAGTAGTTCCTAAGAACAATGACTGTTCTAACAAAGATTTCAATTCTCAGATGCCTAGGAATGTCTCCCCAACCCAGAGAGTTCCCAGGCTCAGAAAGAATCATCACTCTTCTGCTTAGTATAGAAGAGCAAGTGTTTCTCCTAAAATAATTCTACCAACATAAATAAGCAAAAATATATCAGTGATCAGCATAACAATGATGGACTTATATGATTAAAGGTATTTACCTGTTTCTTGGGTGGGCATAGGAAGAGTAACTGTAGCTTCATAAGATGAAGAAAATCATACTTATTTTAAAAAATAAAGGATTCCTATGTACCCTGCTTTTTGTAGTGATAATTCTTTTATATTCTACTAGAAATGAAAGACACATTTTAGAGAAAAAAACAAACAAATCAGTGATTTGTTTATTTTTAACTATTTTATTTTATTACTAATCTATGGTGGTTGCTTTCTCCAGCCTTTCTCTCTTTAGGATACTGAGTAGGGAGCCATACCTTCTTTGTTTTTCCTCCAAGTTAGCCATTAGCTTCTGGAGTAAGAGAGTGTTCTTATCTTCTAGAGGTTTTAGCATCTCTAGAAGTTCCTGCTTCCTTAACTTTAAGTCTTCATTCAATTCTTTCAAGTAGTTGTCATCCATTCTAGGATTCCTGTGGGAAGAGATACAATAATCTGTCTTTAGCTTGGGTAAGTAAAGACCCTTTCCCCCTCCTAGGTAGCTGCCATTTGACATCAAAGACTCACTTTTTTGAGGACAAGCAAGGTTCTGAAGAGTTTGTACCACTTGTCATCTTGAAGGGAAATTCTTGAAAATATGTGCCTTCTTTTCCCGACCAGTTAAGACATCATTTTGTGCTGCTGTTCTTGAAGCTCCTGTTGCATTGGACTGATTTGAGCTACAGCTTGAGGTCACAATGGCACCAAGACCACAAAATAAGCAGAGCTGTGAGTAGCATCAGTAGCTGCTTGATGACTGAAAATACTGAACTACAAGATTATTTCTTGTCTTAGGTTTAGGCAAATTCCCCAAGTGTTATTTGGAAATCTTTGAATGAATAGGATTGAATCACAGCCATCGTACCTGCATTATAAAACACTGTTGGATTAGAAAATAGTGACTTATCAAAAAGAAGTCGTCAACACCATGGTAACGAACCTCTGTGGAAAGCCTGCTGCTCAAAATGCTGGATTCTGTGAGTGAGGAAAAAATAAAAAGACAACAGCACTTATTTCGAGGAGTTTGGCGAAGGAAAAGATACTTCCAACCAACATTTAAAAATGGACAGAGGTTAAACTGGCCCACACTATGAGTGTAATGGAGTAATAGATGAACCATTGTCATTCCCCCCCCCAATCTTTAAAACTCCATTATGTCAGCTGAATGTGGTGAGTCACATCTATAATCCCAGCACTAGAGAGGAAGAGGCAAAAAGGATTGGAAGTTCAAGGCAGCCTTGGGCTATGTAGCAAGACTGTCCTTCAAAACTAGCCCAAGCCAATGCAAAACAAAACTTTGATCTAATGTCAAGGGGAAGGAATATTGGGCATATAGGGAGAGGATATAGTTTGGAAAGATCCACACTGTCAGGGGTCTTCCCCAGTCAGATTGTGTTCTGGAAGGCTATACTTCCTGGACTCACCTCCACAGATTGACTCTGACTCTGTTATTCAACTTGCATTAGAATCACATATCTTTTGATTCTTAAGATCGACTTTCTTATCTATGTTTTTTAGGAAGTAGAAGATCGTCCAAAGGATTATACATTTTTAAATGTGCCCTTTGAAAAAAGTTTCATGGATTCATTTTTAGGCAATATCAGATGTGACTTAAGACAGGCCATTTCAAATACCAACTGACCACTTCCAGCCTTTTTCTATGAGTTTTCTCCAAAGTAATTTAAGTCCTTTATCATTAGGGAAATTTGAAAGGCAAACTATTGCATTGAAAAAAATTACAAGAACTTAGTTTGGGTCTCAGTTTCACTGTGAGCAGTGGGCTGCCTGTGAGCAAGTTTCCAAACTCTCTGAGCCTGATGAGGTTTCCATTTTTATAAAAGAATGAAATATTGACCTGATCAACTTGTGAGCTTGAAATATATAACATGCCTGGCTCATGTCACATGTTCATTCACAGTTAGTGAGATTTTCTTCAGTTTGGGTTTGCTTAATGCCCCAATTAAGTGACCAGATTTTTTTTTTAAAGCTGATATGTGTGAAGCTTAATCACAAGAGCCTTTCACTTTCAAGATCTCTTCCAAAGTCTCTGAACCCTTTTCTGAATTGAAAACTTCCAACCATTTTTGGAAATAGAGACTTCTCTCAAATTATATATGATCAGAGTCCCACAAAATATAGATCTGCCCTAGGTTAGATAGGATACAAGCCTTCCCTACTTACCTCTACATCAAAGCTTCTTTTAAGACAATTTTTACAAATACTTTTGCTAAAGTTTTCACGTGTCACTTGAAGGTTGTGTATGACAGAAATATGATATTAAATTAGAAAAGCCACAGCATGTTAATTCATGTTGGTTGTCCTAGGACTAGCCACAAAAAATTCAATTGAATGAAGGTGAGTAAAATGTTCACTGTTAAAAAGAGGTGGTGGGTGGACTAGTTATTATTAATAGCATCTTAGACTACATATGTGGCAGGTGGTAGCAAATAGTAAAGGACAAAAATGGCATTGCTCACTGAAGCATAGCCTCTTTAAATTTCATGTTGTGACATTTGGCAGGCAGAACTATGATAGAATATTAAAACATTTAATGGGCAGGCTGCATCCCAACTCACCTTCCTCTCTGCCCTTGCTTGTGAATGATTCCAAGAGGAAGAACACTTGCTATTCTGATGTAGTTTTTTCTACAGCCAATCAGCAATGTTTATTTCCTAACATTCTGATGTCCATGTCTTCAACCTGGAGTATGAATTTCAAGGAGTATCTTTGCCTTGTAATGATGTGTGTGGATATTACAGTGAAAAGCTTTTCACAAGAAGCAATCCTCCAAACCAGAAGCCAAGTAGTATTGACGGGGAGTTAGTTGATGTTCTGTATCAGAATCTACTACAGGAAGAAAGGAGGGTGACATTTTAGATGATCATTAAAGGTGGAGGAACTTGAAGTAATTTTTCTTGAAGTAGAAAACTAGGTCATCTGCTGATTGGAAATGTTTGTTGAGAAACCCCTGGAAGAGTGATGCCATGAGATTTGGAATTGCACCTGAGCAGTGGGAAAAGAAAGCCATCCAGGCAAAAGTACAAAATACCGCTTTATAGTGCTAAAGGTCAAATTGACTTTGGAAGCTGAAGATCTGTCGTGCTATGAATCAGTAGTTATACACTTTCTCCTATCAGTAACTGGCAAACTGAAAGCTACAATTGAGAAAAACATGGTGGATTCTTGCCTGGAACCTGGCAGAACCAATAAGCAGAAATTCAAGGAAGAAGGGTTTGAGAATGTTGGTGAGAGTGTCCATCAAAAGGTTTGCCTAAGGCTGGGCAGTGGTGGTGCACATCTTTAATCCCAGCACTCAGGAGGCAGAGCCAGGTGGATCTCTGTGTGAGTTCAAGGCCAGCCTGGGCTACAGAGCAAGTTCCAGGACAGGCTCCAAAGCTTCACAGAGAAACCCTGTCTCGAAAAACAAAAACAAAAAACAAAAAACAAAAGTTTGCCTAAGTCTTTGGGGTGTTCAAGATACAAAAAATGATAACGAGAGAGAACAAACAAGAAAGGAGTTGAGATTGAAGAGTGAGGGGTAGAAGAATAGAGGTTTGGGTCAGTGGATGTCCATCTTATGAAATAACTTGTGGAGATTCATCACCAGTTAGATAATCATAGTAACAGTCATAATGTCTTCTGCAGTAACTTTGTATCTTTTGCTTCCTTTCACTGCATAATCACTGAAATTCATGTGATATCTCGAAATAGGCCTTACAACAGGTTATTCACAATGACCTCATCCAATGTTAGAGCGTTTGGTTTTAGTATCTGTTAAGAAAAAGCGTGACTGCTCTATAATTAGAGAACTCTGAACCATTTTAGTGTTAGTTTTGCCAGCGGAAAGTCAAATTAGTCTAATTAAGTCAGGTCTCCAAAAGTAGAGGCAATTATTTTCATATTAATGCCAGAGATTAGGGGGAAAGGAAGAGGGAGAGAGGAAGAGTGGGAGGGAATTACATTTCTATGTTGTTTGTTATAATCATTTTGTTGACTCCTTCCCCTTAACTCTTTTTTTTTTTAAATAATTTATTGGGGTTTTTGTTTTGTTTTGAGACAGGGTCTCATTGTGTAGTCTTGGCTGGCCTGGAGCTCAATAAGTAGACCTTGACTGACCTTGAACTCACAGAGAACCACCTATATCAGCCTCCCAACTGCTGGAATTAAATGCACCACCACACTCTCATTTTTATTTTTAACTGTATGTGTATGTGTGAGTATATGCACATGAGTGTGATACCCGAAGAGGCCAGAAGAGGGCATTGGATCCCTTGGAGCTAGAGTTACAGGTGGTGATAAGCTGCCTGACTTGGATGTTGGGATCTGAACTTGGGTTTTCTGAAAGAACAGTTTGCACTCTTAACCACTAAGCTAGCTCTTCAGTTCCCCCAACCCCTTGCTTAGCTTTTTTTATAGTTGTCCCAACCTAGTCTGTACCTACATTTAAAAAGAATACAACCACTTGAGGCAGTTGAGATAAATTTCTGTTACTCTTGAGAGTTTTCGGTTGTTTTTTTTAAAGTAATACTTTGTCTTAACATTTCCAGATTCTTGGTATAATGGTCTTTAAACAGCTGTATGAATTTCACAAAGACTTTTCAAGAAAAGTATAAGCAAGGTCTGGGAAATGGCTCCACATGATGAACTGAGTTCAAATCCCAGAACCCATGCAAACATGGCCATGTGTATACCTGTAACCCCAACACTGTAAGATGTGGAGACAAGAGGATTGATGGTGCTTGCTGGTTTCCAGACATTTCCAGGTTCATTGAGAGATCCTGTCTGAAGGGAATAAGGCAAAGAATAATAGAGCAGGACACTAGACACCTTCCCCTGACCTCCAGTGCACAGATGCGTACACTCACAACCCCCCTTCCTGCAACACACACAAAAGAAGAAAGAAAAACAGAGAAGAAAAGGATATTTTTTAGAGAATCTTTTTCTGGACCCTCAGTTTCCACAAGAATTCCCCACTAATATGGATGCGCCTGAGAGTGCTTCTTAGTCTCGTTCCCACCTCCCTTTCCAAGTGTATTTTGCTCACTTAAAGAATGGAATGCATTGTAACCATCTTGAATCTTATTTCAGTGACTTGTTTTGAGAGTGTATAAATTTTTTTAGTTTTTTTATTTAAAAAAATTTTATTCATTTCACATACCAACAACAGATCCCACTCTCATCCCTCCTCTCACTCTCCCCACCCCCACAAAACCCCCCTCCACCCACCCCTCCTCCAAAAGAGTAAGTTCTCCCATGGGGGGACAGCAAAGCCTGGTATATTCAGGACCAAGCCCCTTCCCCCTGCCTCAAGGTGAGCAAGGTGTCCGACCATAAGTAATGGGCTCCAGAAAGCCAGCTCATGCACCAGGGATAGATTCTGGTCACACTGCCAGGGGCCCCTCAAACAGACCAAGCTACACAACTGTCTCTGGTATGCAGAGGGCCTAGTCTGAGAGTGTATAAATTCTTAAAGGCATTCAAAACTTACAATTCAAAATGTTGGCGTTGAGGCTAATAGGAGTAAAGGACCATTAGTGACCAGGAAGTCTGGTTCCACTTCTCTGCTTTCAGCAAATAGAAGGGCTATCTAATTTGAATTACCAGCTTAGGTTTATTAGAGTTAAATCTTGATAATGAATTACTATTTGAATTATGGCTTATAATTCAGAAGGAGTTTCAAACATTTGAAAGACACAGCTATAATAAATACCTTATCCCCACTTACTTATTTATATAAACAAGGTTTTTTTCCCCCCAGTGAGGGTTACATTAATAAAAACAATATGAATGGAATTGATTCTGAAAGGCTGTCTCATTCAAGGAGTAAGTATGAACTCATGGACCAACCAGGGGAGGTGGGGGATGCTGTCGTATTTAATAGAATTGCTTAGAAATAGAATTTACTTAGAAACTGTTTTTGAAACAGACAGAACTTTTGTCACAAACATGCTGTGTCACAAACAGACAAATCGACTTGTGTCTTTCTACAGTGTCAGAACTGATTGAATAATAATAAATTCACAGGCACCTTCCGTTTCCTTGGCTGAAGTTTGCCAAGTAGTCTCGGTTTCCCTCAGTAGTTAGTCAAGGAATACACAATCCTTTGATTCCAGTCTTGACTTTCAATGTCAACTCTCAGATCACACATTGCATGTTGCCCAGAAAATGCACTTCTCTGTATCTGGAAATGTAAGCCAAAGGATGGCTGCAAAAGGGCCAGAGAGGAGGCCTTCCTGTAAAGAGGAGCAGGTTGATACAGATGGGGAGAGACTCACTACCGATGGTTAAATAAGTCAACAAGCCCTGTTAAAGGGCTGATCGCTCGGCCAGAGTTGAGCAGCCTGAGGATCCAGCAGAGCTACCTAAGAGTGGGACCGTGGAGACCATAGGGTCACTGTACAAACCTGGATCCAGACAGATAAATGGGGCAAGTAGGCTGTATCAGCCGTGAGGACTGAGCTGAAGCCTCTGGAACAGTTGGGAGTCCTCTGCCTGTTGGTCCCTCAATGCACACATCACATTGGGTTGGTGGAGACTCACCCTCTTTATGGGTCCAGGTGAGTGTGTTATACCCTTTTCTCAGTCTGATATGCTTGAGACTAAAAATGGAGTACAATGCCGCTTGTAACATGGGAGCTACTGGGGCGAGCTTGAGAAACCACTGTACGGAGTATTTTAGAGCTGGAAACAGTCTGATTTTGACAGTTTTTGACTGCTGGATGAGAGTATTTTATTTAGGTGTTGTCAGATATGAGTGTAGAAGATTCATTAAATATAAGTGATTATGAGAGAGATTTATTTGTCTGTGAGTTTGAGACAACCCTGGTCTACGTAGTTCTAGGCCAACCAGAACTACATAGTAAGACCCTGTCTCAAAAAAAGAAAAGACAGATCTATTTGAAAATAATCAGTGTTGTAACATTCCAGAAATTGTATTTTTGTACCTATTTAAAATTAGAGTGGAAACATGTAGTATTTATTTTGTTATCAGTGTATGGTTGGGGTAATATGCCACAGAGTGTATGTGGAGGTCAGAGAACAACTTCGTGGAATCAGTTCTCCCCACCCACCCTTAGGGGTGTTCCAGGAATTGATCTCAGTTGTCAGGTTTTGGTGGCAAAAGCTTTTTCTTATAGAGACATCTTGCCAGCCCTAAAATCAAACATTTTAGGTGTCAACTTAAAAACACGTGACAAGGTACCTACTACCTACTTTCCCCCCAAATTTTCTGTAGTACATAAGCAAAACGTCTTGGAGACCACTGCTCTAGGGCAGAAGTCCTCTGTCTCTGATGGGATTTAAGAATACCCTGGGGGAACTTGTGAAAGCAGCGCGTTTTCAGGCTCAGGCCCCAGAGATTTTCACTGTTGACTGTGTGGCTCTAACAAATGTTCCCTGGTGATTCTGACATGAATCCTGTGGACCTATCTTCAGGAAAAACTGCCTCAAATTTTCTTCTTCAATCACAATGAATCAGCAGAAAAGCAACATGACTTCAGTAAGCCCCCCCCCCCCCCCATAGACGGCCACGCATCACACCTTTCTTTCTGAATAAGTGAAGGAATGTTTTTGTTGGGTGGGGAAAACTGGACAGATTAGTGGGCCACATTTGTTTTTATTTCCTTCTGTTTCAGTAGGGAGCTCAGAGGCAACTTTGAATATTTCAGCCCTAACTCCTGCTTAGGACCTAATTTCTTGGTCTTGATTTTTTTTAATTAGTTTCTTAAATTAGTTTTTTCATATTTTTATAAACCACCTGATCCTTTGTAAGTAAGTATAGAGAAAAATAAGTTTACCTCTGTGTATATTTTTAAATATGTGGATACATAGATTAGACCAAAAGTTTCTTTTGTTTGGTTTTGTTTTGTTTTGTTTTTTTGTTGTTGTTGGTGGTGTGGTGGTGGTAGTGGTGTTGGTTTACTCATATGTGCCTATAAAGAAACCTTGCTTCTAGAAGGCTGGACTGATGAACTTCAGTATAATATTTTGGGGCACCCCACTGAAAGGCATATTGGGATTTCAGGAACACAGTCAGGATGAGGGAAGTAAGAGATCAAATGCATTCAGAAGAAATGGAAGTTAAGTGCCCAGACTTCAGCCCCATCAAGGAACTGTACAACTGTAGTAAGTAGCAAGTGGAAAAAGAAAGTGGAATCTCTCAAGATGGAGTAGTTGAGTCAGTCAGAAGAGTTTATAGGTACACAGAATTCACCTGAAAGAAAATCTAGAGGATTCTTAAAAGGATGGTAACTAAGATAGTTACACTTAAAATCTTTTAAGAACCCTTGACAACAATTTTTTTTTGTAAAAGATAAAGGCTAGAAAGGAACTCAAGAACCATTTATTTGTCCTACAGTTTTTATTATTTATTCTTTGACAATTTCATCCATGTATATAATGTGTTCTGATTACTCTCTTCCCCCACATCTTGCATTTGTTTTTTAAGAATAGACTTGCCTAGCTTTAAGTTTATACAGAAAAATGAGACAAAAAAAATTGTTCTTAGGATTTGTCAGGTTTAGATCGGGGTCCTGCAAAGGATGGGAGTCTCCTTTTGTTAATACGAGAAGGATGCTCCTCATAGTCAGTAGGGCACTTTAGGAGCAAGGCTTGGCAAGGGAAAGGGGTGAAGACTCTCACTTGCTCTTCAATGAGAATGTCCTTATAAGTGAAACAGCTCCATACCCACATACAGGTTAAACACGTTATATGTGAGAAGGTAGGATGTGAGGTAACACTGTAAGACAGCAGAGGCCTTGTCTACAGTGTGCTATGAGGATGGAGCTTCAGTTCCACTGAAAATACGACTCAGTCCTGTTGATACTTACTCATTTTCAAGAGAAGATAGAAGTCTAGATGTTTTGTGTGACCTCCTGACTTTTTGTTTTGTTTTGTTCTTGGTTTTTTTTTTTTTTTAAACAGGGTTTAAACAAGGCTCTATATAGCCTTGACTGTCCTGGAACTCTGTAAACCAGGCTGGCCTCAAACTCAGAGATCCACCTGACTCTGCCTCCCCAAGTGCTGGGATTGAAGGTGTGGGCCACTGGTGGGAGCCATGTGACTTCTTTGGGGAACAAGGCCTGAGAAGAGCACAAACGGCTCTCCTTGTGGCAAAGTCCTGGAGACCCTGCTCCACTTGGCAAAGACCTATGGACAGTTTGCTGTATGATTCTGGGCATGACCCCAGGAGCATGTGTGCTACCTGATCTTCTTGTTTGCACCATGCTAGTCATACTGCCAGCCTGAATGAATCACAGTAGGTCATGAAGTTTAATATTATGTATTTGCATAACTGTTCTGGAAAGAATGAGTTTAATCACAAGTGTCTTTGAGAATTGTTATTAAATAGATGGTATCAAGAGTTAATGGGAACAGTCTAGGAACAAGGAATGAAGTAGAATCATAGAAACTCACAGTTTCCTCATTTCTAGTAACTGTGCCAATACCCCCCAAGAAGTTAAGGGAGAAGAACATGAGAGCAAGGGATAAACAATGCCAGCTATTAAGAGTAAGTTTCCAAGTTATATTGCTTATAGGATAAAAGGAAAAAACCTGGTATATCCCCAGAGGAGATAAAGTAGTACAGAATGTAGAATGAATTGATCCAGCTTTGGCTGGTGATTTCATTGTGAGAACCCAGACGCTACTAGATGTAAATATTAACCACAAGAGACAAAACTCTCTCTCACCCTGCATGACACTGAAACTGCAAATGCTGCCAACTGGGCACACTGTTCTACCTGTGGGTATGCCTAGTTGGAAAACTTCCTTTCTTAGCTTGCAAGACGGCTTATGCTTCCAACAGTAGAGTTATAGATCTAAAAGGTAATGGCTAGTGGTGGGAGAGCTGGGGGACAGAAAACGAAAGAGGCAAGGAACAAACTGGTAATTATCGTAACCATTTTTAGAAACTTGAAGCAAAGCTGATTGTAAAACAGTTCATGCAAACCACTGAAACTGCATAACTAAAAACAGCCCAGGCTATCCAGGGCTACTTATTTGAACAACAGGTGGTCACAATTTCATTATGGTGCCAGCTTCACACATCCATCCCAGGTCATTGAACCCGTCTGGAGCAAGGCTTCCAGCAGGCCACTACCGCCCAGCAGATGTCTGACTTTTAAGTGCTGTATGAACCAACTGTTTCTTTGAGGGCTACATTTGACTTGTAGCCTGCATATTTGGGAAAGTCAATTCAATGACATTAGGTTTTATTTTTCCTGTACCAAGATTTTCTTTTTGCACTGAAATCATTTTCAAAAGAAGCATTTACATGTAGATAGGAATACCGACTTGCTATCATTTCTCAGTTTGATAGATTTAGACTCAATGTGTCAAGTGAATGGTAGGTAACCCTTCCAAACCAAACCCAACCAAACTCAAAGCAACATATACTTTAGATACCTGTATTAGCCACTTTTCATTCTTGTGATCAGAATACATGCCAGGATGATTCAAAGGAGGGAAAGTTGAATTTGGCTCCTGGTTTCACAGAGTTTTCAGCCTATCATGGAAAGGGAGATCATTGCAGAATGGATCAGCTCATAGAGGTGAGTGGCAGTGGTTCACAGGGCAGCAAACAGAAGACAGAGAAAGTGATCTCCTTTTTCCACCCAGACTCCACTATTGAAAAGCTCCACAGTTTTCAAAATAGTGCCCAAGCTGGGGAGTAAGTGCCATAAGCCCATGGGGGGCATTGCAGATTCAAAGCATAGTAGTATCCATTGTTAGGCATTACAAGGAGACCTCAGACTAAGCATGCATTAGATAAAATGTAACATTTGTCAAGTCTTAAAGATATATAACAGATCTCAAATTCAGCAATCTAGTCACATTACATGAATGAAATGACATGTAGGTTCAATAGTTGAAACAGAGCAAAGAATTCTCTAAATTTGCTTTAGCTGTGTCTTCGTGTTCATATGCCACTTCAACAGAAATGATTGGATAGTCTAGAGGTTTTTGCTACTAGTTTTATTTTTAATTTAGTAATAACCATCTGTAATTTTCTAAAAAAAATAGATAATTATGTGCCTCTATATTGCTTCAACATCAAATGCTAAAAGAAAGCTGACATTTGTCATAGTAAGACTTTCTTCTATATTATCAGCATTTTCCTGGAGGTTTTCATTTGTATTTTCAAATAAATAATTAAGGCACTATAAATAATAATTAGGAATATACATAGAAGCAATGTCAGAGCAGAGCTTTTATTTTTAACAACTTTATAGTTCTGATGACAAATTCAAGAATCTTCTGGGTGTATACACTGCTTTTTTACACACATGCACATGCATACACCAATTATTCAATCTTGTTTAAGACACTAACTCATACTTGCTTTACAATTTAGTTTAGGTGTACTATAGCAACCTTTAAATATTATTTTAAAAGCTATCAAAACATTATTTATTAATTACAAAACATTTTAAGTAAATGAAATTTTACTGCATGGGTAAGTATATTATAAACCTAATCTATAAACTAAGCAGCTTTTACTAATAAATAAACTAAAGCACATTTCATAGTAGCATATCATGATAATAAAAGATCTGAATTAGAATAGAAACTCTAAATTTTGTAATTCATTAAGAACTATTTACTCCTGTGTCCAAATGGTCACAAAGCTTGATTTAAGGGGTTTATGTTAATTAAAATTTCTTTGGAAATTATAATATAGATAAACATTTAAAAATATGTCTGTCCTGCCTGTACTTAAGAGCACTTGTTCTTGCAGAGAACCCAGATTGGAGTCCCAGCACCTACATAATAGTTTATAATTGTCTATCATTCCAGTCCCAGGGGATCTGATGCCCTCTTCTGGCCTCCACAAGCACTAGCCACACACATGGTGCTCAGACATGCATGCAGATAAAATGCTCACACACATAATAAAATAAAAAAGTCTGCCCTAGAAACAGAGGCATTTTAAAAGATTAAGCATGTTAATAGCTATGCTGAGAAGTTTCCCCTGAACCCTTTCTTGGGTATGAGATCCTAAGAGACAGATGTGCTCTTTTCTCTTGTTCACTGCACAGACTCACTGGTCAACAAATCAAATTGGAGTGGAGAGTTTGAAAGCATCAGCATTTTTTTCAGCTGAAAACTTTTCACGTGTCATGTATAACAGTCATTAATGCACAGCCTTGCTACTTCATTTCACTTTCTTACTGTCTAGTCCAGAGTTAGACTTACAGCTGGTTTGAGTTCAGGCTCTCTTTTCCAGTGGTGAAGAGGTCTAAGGATGTATGTCTGATTCCATGCTGGCTAATGAAACACAAAGGGAAGACCGTTGGTGTTCCTGGGCAAGAGTGTTTCTCTCTAATAAAAAGAGAAGGAAAAAATAAAGAAAAAAAGGAAAGAAACCTAAAGAGAACATACATTTACTCTCTACTTTCTTTCCTACTTTGGATACTGTCCCAGAAAGACAGAAAACATGGAGCTACAGTAGCCATTTGGAAACAATGAGATAGAAAGCCAAAAGAATCACAAAGAAACCAAACACCTTGAGATGAAGGAGCTTTGAGATTCTGAAACAACCTTTGAACCACTAGGTCCAGACTTCTTATGACATAACTAGATGCTATTGTTTAATTAATGGCTAGTTGAATTTCTTTTTACTTGTAGTTAAATGTATTCTACCTGTAATACCATATAATTGCATGGCTCGCATTGTGCCAGAGATGGCTCATACTGACTTGTAAAATAATTACACCCCCCCACAATTCCATATCCAGGGACTTCAAGTTGGTAACTTTGGGCTTTACGTGATCTATGTTGGAAGTTGTTATGTTATGGAACTGGCCTAAAAGTACAAATTTTTGTTTGGTTTTGTTTCCTCAGAGAACAGGTTGTTAATCGTTTATCAGCACCATATATGACTGTTTTTAAAATCACATCTGTGAGGGGCTAGAGAGATGGCTCAATGATTATGGACACTAGCTGCTCTCCCAGTGGCTCTGGGTTAAGTTCCCAGCACCCACACAGCAGCTTACCATGGTCTGTAACTCCAGGAATCCAAAGCCATCTTCTGACCTCAGCAGACACTGCATGCACATGGGTCATTATTTTGTGTGCACAAGTGTATGGGTGTGTATGTGCTGTTGCACACGTGGAGATCAGAGGACAACTTGTAGGAGTTGGTTCTCTCCCTTCTACCATGAGAGTCCTGGCAAGGAAACTCAGGTCATCAGGCCGACAGTCAGTGCCTCTATCTGCTGGGCCATCTTACCAGTCCCCTATCATCCTTTAAAGTGATTTTTAAATTAAAAAAAATTTTTTTGAAAATTTCATACATGACTATTCTGCATTTACAAATAACAAATGGGTAATGAGTATGTCAAAACATTTTAAGTTACAGTATTTTAGAAATGAAAGAGACTAGTAAATTTAAGGGAAGCAAAATAAAGTCTCAAATTATTTTAAAATGAACCCAATATTATGTGTAACTAATTAATAGCAGAGTCAAGTTTACAATTTGACTCTTATTTTCAAAAACTTTTTGTGGTGGATTAGAATCCAGAGCCTCACATATGTTAGGCAAGCAGCCTATATTTAGCTATTCTATTAGCCATTACAATTTGATTCTTTATTCCCATTTTAGTGAACGTACCAGTGTACTACAGAGCACTATATAATTTATATAACAGTGATAATAACAATAATTCATTGCTTGCCATATCTAGCCTCAAATTCAAATAGTAAGTTGGGGATGCATGATTTTCTATAAATGTATCAGCTTAGGTTTCATAATGCATATAATCTGTGTTTAATTAGATATTCCAAAATTTGGTCTATTCAGCAAAGATGCAGCCCTTGAAGAAGGCTGACATATGGGAAGTGTGAACGTGAGATCACAAGCTGCCAACAACCTTTAATCATCATTATTCACAGTAAGTCCTGATGAGTAACCAGATGATCAGAATGAGCTTTGACTGCCCAAGTGCATCAAGAATCCTCTCACAGAGGGAATGAGCTGCCCACAGTCCTTCTCCAACGGCCAAAGAATTGTCAGCCCAAGTCTGAGATCTTCTACTCAAGTAAAAATCACTGGACAGTCTTGAAAGATAGAAATTGCACTGTGAGTTGAAATGCATTCTTTAAAGAATAGTGACTGAACCCCTGAGACAATATAAGGCTGACAACTCAAGTCTGAAACAGTTGGACACATGTGCCAGCAAAGATCAGATACTGAAAATACTCAAAATTTGTCAAAACTTCCCAGTGCTGGTGAAAGTTAAGACTGGAACATTTCTGGAAAGTAATTAGGTGATATACTACATATCAAAAAACTTAAAAATAAATGTGTTGCAAAATTTTGATATGTTAACTGTGGGAGAATACGAATAAAATAATTTACTATGTTTCTATTTGAGGAGACAGTTCAATTTGCAAAATGTAAAGAAATGTTTATGGGGAGATTTTATGGCAGTTAAAAGTGCTTGTTGCACAAGCATGAGGTTCTGAGTTCAGTTCTCCAACACCTACATAAAAAGGGTATGGCCATGTGTACACACACACACACACACACACACACACACACACACACACACACCAAAAAAGCAAGTTTTCTTTTAAAATTATTTATTTTGCATATATGTGGTATTTGTTGTTTGTAGTGTGTACATGTTCATGTGGATGTGTATATCAGTACATTCAGGGGCACATGGATGTGGAGGTCGGAGATCTCCTCAGTTGCTCTCCACCTTACTTGTCCAGACAGGGTCTGTCACTCTATCCTGCACTCAATGATGCCAGGACTGCTGGCTAGAGAGCTCCAGGGACCTGCTTCTCTCAGCCTTCCCAGTGCTGGGGTTATAGGCAGGCACCACTCAGCATGCCTTTTTCATGTGAGTGATGGAGATACAAACTCAGGTCGTCTTGCTTGCCTGGCAGGCAGGCACTTTACTAATTGACCCATATTACCAGCCCACTGAGTATTCATGTTAGAAATTGTAATCTTGGTGACTAATTTTACAGAAGTTTGATAGCTGTAAAGATTAATGAGCATTAATTATAGATTTGTGAAAATTGGAAACAACTTAAAAGTCTAGGAACTGTGAGATAAATGAATTAATTTTGATGTATCCAGGCAATGACATTTAATGGAGCCATTAGAATAATATTTTAGGGATGTTTGAGAAAATGCTAAAAATACAATGTCAAGTAAAAAATAATATGAGATGTTAGACTCCATTTGTGTATGTTTTTGGAAGTCTGAAAAGTGCATTAAAATCAAGATTTTTTTTAAAGTAAGTATGTCATTCCTCCATTTTTTTTCTGAAAATATCAAGTTTCTCTAATGAGTATGTGTAAATCTTTAAAATAAAAAAAATGTTCTTATAAAATCAAATCATGCTAATTGTATAAGTAGAAAGTACAGTGAGTAAGCTTTTCAAACATGCTACTAAAGGGAACCCCATGATCACTAAATGAGCATTTATGGCTTGTATAATGGCAGAATGGGCCACAAGTTCAGTATTGTGAAATTGTTTTTAAAATGAAGTATCTTAAAATTGAAAAGAAAAAAGTGTAGTGTAAAAGAAAGAAAATATGGAAACACATATTTATAAAGATAATATGAAATTAAAAACAAAACTCTTCAAGTCAAGTCACTTGGAAAACATTCTGATGACAAAGGACAACTGTCTCAATTAGCATTAAAATCGAAAACTATGTTCCCTCTTCACATCCCCATGAAACAAAGTGGACTGACTGACATGGACTGACTCTGTGGGTATCATAGAGGTGGGGGAAGAAGAGAGACCTGGATGGTTGTGGGATAATGTTTTGCAGGTGTTAGGAATTGAGAAGGGGCTGGAGAGATGGCTCAGCTGTTTAGAGTGCTTGCGCATATCATGAAGATGGGAGTTTGGATCCCATCATCCACGGAACAAGAAGAGTATCCTACAAAATGTTTAGGACTCTATCTCCAAGAGATCTGATGCCCTCTTCTGGCCTCCATGTCACACACACACACACACACACACACACACACACACACACACACGTCTTGTAAAAAATCAAATAGGTTAAAAAAGAGTGTTTCAGGAATAGCTGCTGTTCTGGAGACGGTTCTGGGAAAAGGACTGAAACATTAATGTTCTGTATTCAGAGTGCATTCTTCTTTTTAGAGTTGCTACCAAGAATCCAAAAGAATGAAGAATGAAGAGAGTACTAATGATTACTTTGTGACTCCCCAGCTGTGGGTCTTTGAATATGAGAATGGGCGAAGTGAGGCTTAACCCAAATTATCTGAGTTACAGCACGATCCCCACACTTAATACCTTGGTTGCCCCAGGTAGGTAGTTATGCAGCTTTGGAAATCTGGACACTGTTTTCACATGACCTTAAAAATCCTAGTCTAGACTAGTGGCTGTCAGTGTTTTTCTCTCTCTGACTGACTACCTGGGACAGATGACATTCTATGCATATACCCATGGTGTATGTAGTATTGAGATATCTCTTAATTTTTTCTCATCAAGCTAAGAAATTAATACTAGTGAATGTAGTGTTTGTTATAAAGAAACCTTCACTGCACTTCAGTCTGCTTTAGAAAATGGTGACTCATTCATAAATTTCGGCTCTTTAACAGGCTCATCTTTGGGCAGGACAACTAAGGCAATTTCCCTGAAGCTCAGACTAAGGGGCAGGACTGTGTAGGTGTTATACCTTATTCTTTCTGTCTAAATGTAATTAAAACCACTTTCAAGATTTCTGTCTATAATGATATCCAAGGCAGCTGACAGTGCAGTCTCCTTTCAAGCAGGATTATCTTGGGCAGGCAAGGGCTGAGGGGCCCGAGGCCCACAGTTGTCTGGGTATGGTCTTGTACTTTTTTCCAGATCAAATTACAAATAATATCACTTGCAAGAAGGCTATATTTTCATTTAAAATTGGCTCCTTTGCTTTGAAATTACAGTCAGATGAAAGAACGATGCTTGGTAATCCTTATTCATTTATCAATAAATTATTTAAGCATTCACAATAGATAGGCTCTGTGCTAGCTCTGGGAATTTAGCAGCACCGAAGGGAGGCCTACAAGACTGACCTCTGTACTAGAGAAGAGAACAGCGGTAGAGCATTTGTCTAGCATGGGTGAGGCCTTCGGGTCCAACCTGATCTCTGCAAAAAACAAATACAAAAACAGAAACAAAACCTTTCAAAGAAATCACAACAGCGAAGACTGATCTCTACTTTCCTTCCAGTGGGTGGAGACAGCTATTAGACAAGAAGCAAAACTGAAATATTGTTGTCGGATTTGTTCACTCATTTCATTCATTCATTTATGTAGGTGGTTTTCCTGTCCCGCAGCTGCTCTTAATTAAACACACTGAGGCTTATATTAATTATAAATGCTCAATCAATAGTTCAGGCTTGTTACTAGCTAGCTCTTACATTTTAAGTTAACCCATATTCCTTATTTACACTGCCATGTGGCGGTACCTTTATTAGCATGGCACGTTCATTCCCTGCTCCCTCTGTGTCTGGGTGGCTATTCTACTGGCTCCACCCTTCTTCCCAGAATTCTCAGTCTGGCTGTCCCACCTATACTTCCTGCCTGGCTGCCAGCCAGTCAGTTCTTTATTAACCAATGAGAGTAATATGTATTCATAGTGTACATAAGGATTATTCCACAGCACATTTACTTACCTAACGTGTACTGAAAACAACTAATATGTCCCAAGTGTTCTAAATGTCTTCCCATGAATTATCCCTTTAAATTTAACCCTGAGTAAAAGTATATTCTGATTGTTGTTGTTTTTTTCTTTTACAAATCCATAAGTAGTGTAATTCACTGTCACAATCAAAAGTCAGGAAGGAATCAACATATCCAATATAGGAAACTTACTGTATTAATTATAAGAATTCATTATAAAATGACAAGTTAAATAGCTAGTGTAAGGACTTCTGTGTACTGATATGGAACACTACCTAAGAGAAAGTGGTGTTGTTTTTTTTTTTTAATTTTCTACACTTTATTATAAAAAACAGAAACAGCCGGGCGGTGGTGGCACACGCCTTTAATCCCAGCACTCGGGAGGCAGAGCCAGGCGGATCTCTGTGAGTTCGAGGCCAGCCTGGTGAGTTCCAAGAAAAGGCGCAAAGCTACACAGAGAAACCCTGTCTCAAAAAAAAAAAAAAACCAGAAACAGAAACTTGCAAGCAGGGCATGGTGATGCAGACCTGTGATTGGAGCACGTCTAGGAGCACATCCAAGTAGGAGGCGAGGTAGACCGACCTTTGTGAGTCAAGGTCAGCCTGGTCGACAGAGCAAGTTGAGGACAGCCAAGGCTACACAGACACTGTCTCAAAAACAACCCTAAAAGAAAAGAAAATAAGCCCTTGCAAATAATTAAAAATGCCACACACCAAAAATAACTAGATTCCAAGATTTTACAACTCAATGAACTCTACAGTTAAAACAGGCGTGGAGTGCCACATTCAGTTTTATAGTTTCAACACTGAATATATTTTATGCACATATCTATCACCCAAACCAAAAAGCTCACGACAGAATCATAGCCAGAAAAACAATTAGCTTTATTTCTTCTCTCATAACTTGTATCCACTGCCTGCATGCAGTCCTTCCTCGTCATTTTAATCTTAGCCCTTCTTGTTCTCTTTTCTTCATATTATACTATACCCATACATATATTTACTTAGCTATATACATATATTATTGGCTAGATTTCATATATAAGGGAGAACATGCAATTTCTTTTCTATCTTTGATTGTATTACCTCACTTACATTCTAAATGTATCCATTTTTTTGCAAAATTATCTTCATTTTTTTGTATATAAAGCAGCATTCTTTCTATGAGCAGCACTCCATTATATATACTGCATTTTCATTATCCGTCTGTTGATGGACAACTCAGTTGATTCCAATTCTCTGCAGTTGGCAAAGCAGCAATAAGTGTGGGGGTGCAAATATCTCTATAGTAGGTTATGTCATTCTCTGGGTACATACCCAAGGACTCTATGAGAATTAAGTTTCAGTACAGCAAAGGAAACAGTCATCAGAACACACAGATAGCCCACAAAATGAGAGAAAGTCTTTATCAGCTACACTTCAGACTAGGGGCTGGTATTCAGAATTTACCGAGAAATGCAGAAATTAAATACCAAGGAAATAAAACTGCCAACCAATAAATGGGCAAATGGAATGGAAGAAATGGTTTTTAAAAGAAGAAATACAAATGGCTAATAACCATTTGAAAAGATGTTCAGTATCCCTAGCATCAATACATCTGACAACAAATGTTGGAGAGGGTGTGGAGAGAAAGGAACTCATTCACTGTTAGTGGGGGGTGAAAATTAATACAGCCATTGTGGGACTCAGTTTGGTGATCTCTCAAAAGTTAAAACCAGAACTACCATATGACCCAGAGAAAGTGTCCGTATTAGAAGGACAAACTTTAAAACGGCATTTAAAATCAGAGCTTTGTGCCTTTACATGTTTGTATTTTAAAAGTGCATAAGCTATATAAATAATTCAACTGATTGCTTCAGGAGAGCAACCTGGTGAATTAGAATGGGGAGCAGCACATAGTTTTGTTGATATAGCCATCCTTTTGTAAATCAAAATGTTAACCACATCCATTAATTATTTTGAATTGAAATTCTCATTAATACTTTTTTCATAAAAGGTTTAGCCTTCTAGGAGCTTGCTCAAATACAAGGAAATTTAACTTCTATGTTCTCAATTTAGGAACAAAGGCAGGTAAGCCTCATGTTAAAGAAAAACATATTTAGTTTTATGCTTATAGATAAGTGCAGAGATCAGGAGGAAGGGCAGGTGGAACCCTGAGTTGGAGCTGAGGAGCCCAAGGTGAAGGAGAAGATTTAGGAAAGATGTTAATGTCTCTTTTCTTTGTATGCTTAAGTACAATTAATATTTGTTCAAATCATACAGGATTGTCTGGAAGTGTTAGAAATGAGAGTGCAAAGCAGGTTATCTGAACAAGGTAAAATTTGTTTCTGGGGTTTATAATATGGTTTGATCATCGTGGCTGGATGAAGAAGCAAGAGAAAATGTGGTCCGGAATATCAATTACTCAGTTCCTTCACATCACCAGTTGGAAGACACATCCCCCAAGTCTGCTGATTTGGAAAATCCTTACTTTTGCAAGGACTGAATTCCCTTGCTTGCTATTTATCAGCATTCTGCTGACAAGTATTGTTCCTTCTCTGTCCTAAGATCCCCTCCTCACCTTTTTTTTTCTTCCTTATTAAACTATCTATTCTTTAAAAAACAAAAAACAGCTCAGTAACCCAACTATTTAAAAATACCTTTTTATCTCATTTGTCATTTATTAATGGGCTCATTTTCTCTCCAGTGTTTCCTGCACTTCAGACATATGAGAGGAAAGTTTAGGTCCCTGGGGCTGTTATTACATCACCAATTCTTTTCACTGGCTTAAAAAAAAAAATCAGACTCAAGCTTCAGTAATTCTGTATACCACCATCTCCAGTCCTGCTTCTTAAGTATTTTTCCCTCCCAAATTTAGAGCTCTGAATGATCCCTAGTAACTCCAGCCAGATGTATGTTTGTTTTGAGGAAATTATTAAATGAATTATAATTTTCACTGATTGTTTCATGGCTATTTGAGCATAATCTGTTCCTTTGTCAAGCTCACAATTCCTTGTATATGAGAGCATTAGAGTACACAAAGAAGCAGCTTGTTTTGTGAGAATTTCATACTTTCCTCTAATTTTTGACTTGCTATTGGTTTCTTTTCTAAAATAGGCTTATTTGGAACTTTTTTTTAAAAAATAAATCCTGACTTCTAAGTGTTCCTCCTGCTCACATTCAATTCTAAGGGCCATCTTAATGTTCCCTCTTTGCTTTTCAGTATTCACTAGGTACCAGTGAAGAGCAGGCAGAAGAAAAAAGGGGGAAACGCTTTGCTATCAGGAGGATAGTAGAAAGAACATGAGGTGCAGAGTCAGGAGTCCCTTGTTAAGCTTTCTGCCTCACATTTTATTATTATTAGGGTTTTTTTTTTAATTCAAGCTTTTCCTATCCTTCCTTTCCCATCTAGAATCAATCATCTCCTCTCTTTCCTTATCTAATATTGAGAAAATGGATAAGAAATTTTGCAAAGCACTATGAATGCCTGTGAAAAGGGCATTATGGAAATGCCCAGTATTATTATGCTGGAGTTTTGCCATTATTCTGTAAGCAAAAAGATGCAGTTCAGAAGAATATCAATCAGCTCCCTTCACCCGAGAGTCCAAAGAGGCACAGCTAGCAAGTACTTGGAGTATTATGTAGTAAGTTCACTGAAGGTATCTAAGCCGTTAGATTCATGCCTTTTTGTGTGATGACTGTCATTATTATCACACTGGCCCTTTGGGGAGAGTCATAGCATTGGAGGACAGTGAGGGTGGGATATCCTGCCATCAATTATTGTACTGTGATGAAGGAAAAGACAACAGAAAAGTGAGTTCTGCCCACGGTCCAATGGTCTAAATAATTTAAACACGAGAGGAAGAGAAATGGCACAATGATGTATAATGCACAGGAAGTTTATCTAAATCTTGACACTGTGTGTATGTAAGACATAAGGGTACAAACTGACTCCAGAGACACTGGGAAGTATAAGTTAATACTAGGCATTTTTACATTTAAGGGGATTCACATCCCATCTCGGGCAATTTAGGAGCACAGAAAAGTCCAGTCTCAAAATACCTCTTTCTTCCTCAGTGCCACCTTGTAAAATAGCCACCATGAGACCACTCCCTTGAATTGTATTTGCAGCCAACAGTTCTATTAGGAACCTGCATGAAACTGTGAGCTCCTGCATAAATTCTAGGTGTTTGTCTTTAATGCAGCTGGCAGCTGGCTAGAAAGTATGCAGAGAATTGATCCTCAAACTTTTGTAGAGAAGATGACTTGGATGAGATGTTGAAGAAAGAGCAAGGGTCACACATCCAGAGAACCCTGTGCCGTTAGCTTAAGTATGTGAAATGAACTAGACACATTTCAATAGGTGCTCAGTTGCTTTTGTTCCTGGGTAAGAGTCATATCTACCTCATTACTTATTACAAACCCAATGACATGGCCAAATAAAACATGCTAAATGCCCTGCAGAAATCTTTAACCATTGTGAGACCCTTGACTTAAGTAGATGGAGGGATAGTGAGGTAACACAGTTTTGAAAGAGTCATAGAGGGAAGAGGTGACCTGCATGCTACTTAAGAGAACCCTATTACGTTCTTCTCCACATCCCTCTGTCAAATGCCAGTTTACTATTGCGAGGCGTGAGCTTAGTTACTCTTCAAGAATAACTGTTTCAGCTGCTGTTCCATTGCACATCAGAAGCCATCGGCCCACTGCCTATTCAGCTGCCTTCGAAGAAAAGGGCACTGTACCTTTTCCAAATTGCGAAGGCCACTTCAGGGATGGTGCCATATTGTCCTGGCCTCAGAAGATGCCTTTTGATAAAGCCATAACCACACTCGTTTTGGCAAGAATCAGTAGTCCTTTGTTTCATGTCCTGTCTGTCCATTTTGTCAGCAGTTGATTCAAGGATACTTTGTTGTCCAGTGGCTAACTTTTGCCACAATGAAAGTTAACTCCATATGCAGTTTCTTCAATGCCCATATTTTCTCTGAAGTAGATTGGTACTGCCAGGAGCCGACATGTCTCATAATCATAACAAAAAAGAAAAATTTTCTAAGTTATTAAAACATTTTAAATGCCATATTCTGTAGATCTCTGAAGGGTTTGAAGATGACCTGTCTAAAATATATCTGCTCAATTTTTAAAACATATCTAATATGACTACAACTTCTATTGTAATGTCTAACTACTAACTTTCATTTCTTTTTTTTTTTTTTTGATGAAGCCATATATACACAGCCAAGAATGGACAGCTGAATTAAAAAATCAACAACAATTTCCAGAATTTAAAATCCTGAATCATGACATGACACTAGTGGAATTCAGGTGTTTCTGGTACATGGACTGCTCTCACCCAATGTGAGGTTGAACTGTCGACCTTGTGTACATCCTACTTCACAAATGAGTCTGTCAGATATGCTAAGCCTATAGGCTGAAGATGATGCCCCAACACTGTGGAGAAACCTCAGGTGACTGTCCAGGCAGCTGGCTGTTTCTGTCAACTCACAAATTTTTTGGAAGTTGCTTGCATGCACTTTCTGTTTTTATTTTTGTTAGCTAATATTATTTCCTTCTTGGGTCTCTGAGGGAGTTGAAGATTAGTTAGTTATAGTCGAAGGTTAGTTAGTTATAGTTGAAGATTAATTAGGATAGAAAGTGAATTAGATACATTTTGGACTTAACAAAATAGGATAGATAATGAAATTATTTTCTCTGAATTTGTCAAATACAAATGGACTAGACATTGTTTAGACATTTATTACTTGTATATATTGTATATAGTCATTGTACTTTTGTATATAGTTTTTCTTTTGTTAGTTATAACCTTTTTCTTTTTTTTCCTTTTTATTAAAATAGAAAAGGGGAAAAAAAAAAAAAAAGAGAACCCTATTACTATTGATTGATTTACCACAGAGCTTGGCAGTTTTTCAGTGGGGGTGTAAGAAATGACCTCTATTCTTTTGAAAAGATAGAAACTAGTTGAGCAAGATCTGGCAGTCTAGTGTGAGCAGAGGGCATCTTGATGGTGTAAGAGTTAAAAAAAATAATGCCTATAAGTATTTCACTATTTATGCTAACATATTCTTTAAAATGCGGGTGTCAATCAGAAAAAAATTTAAAACATCACCTTGGATAACCTAGCTGAGATTAACCCCAAAGGGAATAGAACATTCTATGGGGGAACAAGAGGGGAAAAGTTTAGAACACGAGGCTTGGGTAGAAGTCAAAACCGTAGGTGGGTGTGAGTGCTCTGGCAGGCTGATGGCAGATGATGAAGCCTGCAGGTAGAGGGGGTGGGTATTGCAGGAGAGGGAGGAGGCAGGCTTTGCCTACTGTGCAGTTTTGCCTAGGGCAGCTAATTGCTTGTGCCCAGAAAATTGCCTCTGGAAGCCTTGGGCAATATGCAGTAGGTTTGCCCTGAAGCCTACTTTATCAGGTTAAGTTGAAATTTGGTGGGAGAATAGAAGGAAAGGGGAGCTAAAAGAATTCCTGAGCTGAAGAAAGAAGGAAAAAAGGGAGAGAAACACACAAAGGTCACCGACTGTCTCAGCAACATATCTCTAATGATGAGAGGTGATTTTGAGCTCTCGGGGATCTGAGGTCTTGTTTTATTTACTTATTTCCAATATAAAGTGATTTTAAATTACCTCCTACTACTCACCAATCTCCAAATAAAATTTTCTAAGGTTATCCCTCCCCCAGCAAATCAAATAGCTTGACCAAGATATATAGCTAGAGAAAGATAAAGACAGGCTGAGAATTAAGGTCTGAGCTCCCCGCCCTGTTTCAGCAATGTATTAAGCCAGAGGAGGGGGAGTAACAGTGTAAGACGACGAAAACAGGGTGAAACTTGGGAGGGGGTATTAAAGGGGAAGGTAGAAAAGGTCACCTGAGCATCCCTGAGCATCACTTTCCCTTAGGATTGACTCTGGTGTAAGAACTATACATAAAGTAAGGGAAGGCCTCTAACACTAATAGAATCTCTGTTATGTGTTCATATCTTGTATATTTTATTTATTGTAATTACATTAATTTTATATCAACTGTAAGGCAGCTGCCTACCCTGCTCAAGGCCCTGGGTTCAGTCTTCCAGCCCAATTTATCACCATCATAAACAAATCCTGAGATTAACAAACTTGCTTATGGTTGCTCAGGTGGTAAATCAGAATTTTAATCCAGGAAGACCTAACTAGGCCACACTGCTTCTTTTCCAAAGGTATTGATTAAATGTCTACTATATGCAAGGTACTATGCTAGGTACTTTAAGGGTACCTTAAAGTACCCTTCATGATGTAAATAAGGAAGCCTTGATTATCTTGTTCTTGGAGTATATAATGTAAAGAAGGAAATGTCCTTAATTAATTAACTGGCCAACTTAGCTTTCTATTTAATGTTCTAATATGATAAAGAAGCAAGTGAGCTCAGCCACAACCATATAAATTGGAAGATAGTGTTCATAAAATCTTTTTTCAAAAATTAAGTGACATGCCACACATGGCTAAGGCCCATTTTATTAATCCTTTATAGTTTTGTGTGGCATATAGAGCAATGCTCCCAAACTGTCCTAAGTTATTTATGGGTTCAGCAAAAATAAAACACAAACCTAGTATTAGCAACATTTTCTTCAAAAGAGTATGAAAGTATATGCAGGAAAAACATTCCAGCACATTTCTTCTATTATTATTATTTTAAAATCTGTCTTTATTAAGTGGTAGGCAACTCTCTGGAAGGATAAATGACTAGCAATCAATTTGTTAGCTTACTTGAATCTTCAATGTGTGTATACTAGTCCATGATCTTTAGCCTCCATTGTGCATATTTTTGATATAGACTAAACTTTGATTATATTTAGCAACAGTGATGCTTTCTTTGACACCATTTTTATTGCCCACTTTAATTTAAATGTGTATTATATTTCGTGAGCTCATGCTGATATTTCATTGCCACATTATAATGTATTTCAGGATCAAACATGTTGGGAAATACTCATCTGGAACTTGCTGCCATGCCCTGACTTCCAGTTTCTTAAAGGATATGCTGATCTGGATTGTGTTTTCTATGGTTTGAACTTTTGAGGCACCCTTAGACAGTGCCAGTCATCTACAATGCTAAGTGCACATATGCTTAATATTTTCCTTGCATGCTTAATGATAAATATACAGTCAGAATGGTTAAAAAGGCAACTCTATGTCTATTTTACTACATTAATATGTGGGGGTACATAAGAAGAACATGAACTTATAAATTGCAAAAGTTGTGGTGTCATAATTGTACACAAAATAATAAATAATATTTTATCAGTACAAGAAAAAAATAACCAGGAGATAAATGTTTCCTAAAATCTAAAAAGGAAACATAATAATGAGGATATTTATATATGACTAAGTAAAAAGCCAGAACATAGTTTTTGACTTGTTCACTGGCATCTTCTCAACACTTAACATAATATATGATGCACAGTCTGTAGTCAAGAAATATTTTTGAATGGGTGGTAAGATTCTTTCCACTCTGGGCTTTTTTCTTAGTTGTCTGTTGGACCTGTTTGTTTCCTCTGGTGAATCACGTAGCATAATCTTAGAACATAAGGGAATTAAGCTAGTGCAATATAAAACTCTTGGTTAATAGCAGATGAAAATTAGGTCAGCTGTGGCATGTAACAGACATATCTAGGCCTTTAAAAGTTATAAACATTTAAAAAATAATTTATATACTTCCATTTCCCTACAGGGGTGACTCATGAAATTGCTAATTTTTATACATTAAAAATATATGGCTTCATAAGGTTAGATCTTAGCATATAAATTCTTAGCTAGTGCTGACCTCCAGTTTCAAGTGATGGAAACATTGAAACTCGGAGAAAATGTGCTTCGGTGTTCATTAAGAGGGCTCTTCTTTGCTTCTAAATGCCAGAGAACTAAAGTGATCTAAGAAATCAGAACAAATATTACAGCACCTTCATTAAAACACAGGAAGCTGACACATTTACTACTGGCTTTTATGGTTAATCACAAATCTCCCACCAGAGACTGTGGAATGACCATCTGAATATATTGTAAGAAGACTTAATGGCCTTAAATACTGATTACCTTAACACACAGCGGTCTCTTCCATTTCTGACATTGAAACGGCACTCCCAATTACTGTGGTTAAAAATATAATAATAAAATAGATCTATAATTTGTTTAAAATGTATCACTTACTACTTGAATAATTTTAAATGCCTAGATGACTATAATCACTTGAATGGTCCAAGAGCCATCTCAGTGACCATGGACAAAGTCCAACATAGAAAGTGAGACTCGGCTTCTGTAACCAGTCCCATCTTTAGCTGCTTATGATGCAGCCACAAAAGTGACCTCAGGGCCAGGGAAAACCAAAACAAACAAAATAACCTTCAAAGCTGAAAGCTTATAGGGGAGAACCAGAGAATTACAGACTGTTAGAACTTCTCTAGTGTTCTCCTGAGGAACAGAGCTGATAGGAAGAATAGAATTAAAGGGGGATTTATTAGCTTGGCTTACAGGATATAGTCTGGCTAGTCCAACCATGAAGTAGCTAGACTCACACCTGAGAGACCAAGAATCTGCAAGTTTCTCAGTCCATGAGGCTGGATGTCTTGGCAGTCTCAATCTGGTGCTGAAGACTGGAATTTTCTTAGAAGCTGCTGGCCTTCAGCCTAAATTGGAAGACCAGAGAATCTGGTCCTGCTATGGCTGAAGAAATGCAACAGTGCTAGCAACAGACCAGATAGGCTTGCCAGTGAGAGTGAAGAAGTCAAATGCTTGTCTTTTAGTTGATTCTGGATCCAGTCAAGTTGAGATCCAAGATTTAGCCACCATACTACTCTACTCGCTTATTAGTAGTGTTCCCACTTCTTTTTTTCCCCCCAATCTCTGCTTATCAGGGGAGGATTGAAGCTGAGATTACAGAGCAGTTGTGGGGGTATTGTGTTCCCCAAAATATTGTGCACCCTAATAAACTTATTTGGGGTCAGAGAACAGAACAGCCACTAGGTACAGAGGCTAGAAAATGGTGGTACTCACGCCTTTAATCCTAGCATTCCAGAGGCAGAAATCCGCCTGGATCTCTGTGAGTTCAAGGCCACATTGGAAACAGCCAGGCATGGTGACTCATGCCTTTAATCCCAGAAAGTGATGGCAGAAGCAGAAAGGTATATAAGGCGTGAGGACCAGGAACTAGGCTGGTTAAGCTTTTAGGCTTTGAGCAGCACAGTTCAGCTGAGAATCGTTCTGGATGAGGACTGAGAGGCTTCCAGTCTGAGGAAACAGGACCAGCTGAGGAACTGGTGAGGTGAGGTGGCTGTGGCTTGTTCTGCTTCTCTGATCTTCCAGCATTCACCCCAATACCTAGCTTCAGGTTTGTTTTTATTAATAAGTACCTTTAAGATTCATGCTATAGGCAATAGTTATTTACATCTTCTAGTGTGACCGTCCCAGTCATACCAGAGGGTCAAGTGATAATGTTGACATAGCCTGTGCTTATATATATATATACACACACACACACTGATGTGGTTTGACTAAGAATGCCCCCTCCTTCATAGGTTCATATATTTGAATGCTTAGGGAGTGGCATTATTTGAGAGGATTAGGAGGTATGGCCTTGTTGGAGGAAGTGTGTCACTGGGGATGGGGCTTTGAGGTTTCAGAAGCCCCAGCCAGGCCCAGTGGCTTTTCTGTCTTCCTGCTGCCTGTGGATCTGGTTGTAGAATGCTCAACTACTTCTCCAGCACCATGTCTGCCTGCATGCTGCCATGCTGTCTGCTTTGATGACGATGGACTAAACTTCTGAAATTGTAAGCAAGCCCCAATTAAATGCTTCCCTTTATAAGAGTTGCCATGGTTACAGTGTCTCTTCAATAGAACATAGAACAATAGAACATTGACTAAGATATACATGAAAAAATAATATCAATGGCACATCTTACACCGGAGCCTAATTTTTAAAATAAAAAAGAACTTCCTTTCTCAACACTATTTTTATAGAACTTTTTTTTTTTTTAAGTTTCCCAAAATTGTACTATATGTGTGATATTTGGCCAACCATTCTTCTATTGCTGGGCACCAAGTTTTTCTTTATTCATTCATTCAGTGTTATTAGTAACATAATCACAGCTAAATCTGATAAAAAATCTATAATACTTCCTTTAGAATGGAAGTTGCTGCTTGACATTGGTGTCATTGAATGATTTCTTGGAGGAAACACATGGATCTCAAGAGCAGAGACACTAACGTAATTAGTAGGAGAGAATAGACTGTAGGGAGCAGCGGATAAGCCCTGAGTGAATGTGTATTGTTAACATGGACATAGCCATGTCAAGGACCCAAGGCCTCAGACCAATTCAAGTGGCAAAGCCTTGCTGTGGTCTGAGTGCAAATGCTGACAGTATATGTAGTAGCTATCAGTTCTGGAATGACTGCATCCTGAGACTGCTACCCTGCAGAGACCGCCTACCTGCCTCTTTGTTAAACTGTATACCAAAAACCCACCTCTTCAATTCAGCTGTATAATGTAAACACACTGAGGTTCCAGATTACTGTTGCATCCCATCAGAAAGTACACATTCCATCCAGTTCAGCTTTGCTGTATGGGTGTCTGTTTGTCCTTTCCTCATTCTCTCTTCACCCCAGTTAGGTCAATCTCCAAAGCTGTGCAGAACTCAGCAACAGACATTTCAAACTGAGACAGCTTCTGAACACAGTCTAACTTAAAGCAGTATAGATGCATGGACCATAAATTTTCCACTTTGTCCTTAGGTAATTATTTCTAAGACCAAGAAAAAAGACAGTATAAGAAAAATCTGGGGCCTGGAAAGGTGACTCAGTGGTTAAGAGCACTGGTTTCTTTTCCAGAGGACCCAGATTCAATTCCCAGGACCCACATGACAGCTCACAACCATCTATAACTCCAGTTCCAGAGAACCTGACACCCTCACACAGACATACATGCAGGCAAAACACCAATGCAAATGAAGTTAAAATTAATTAATTTAAAAAAGAAAAGATAAAGATATTAAAAAAAAAAAGAAACTTTCGGGAATCCACAAGGATCACCTCAGCTAAGACTCCTAGCAATACTGGAGAGGGTGCCTGAACTGGCTTTCTCCTGTAATTAGATTGGTGACTGCTCTAATTGTCATCAGAGAGCCTTCATCCAGTAACTGATGGAAGCAGATGCAGAGATCCACAGCCAAGCACTGGGCTGTGCTCTGGGAGTCAAGTTGAAGAGAGGGAGGAGGGATTATATGAGCAAGGGGGGTTCAAGATCATGATGGGGAAACCCACAGAGACAGCTGATCCAGGTTGGGGAAGCTCACGGACTCTCCACCAACAGCTAGGGAGCCTGCATGGGACTGACCTAAGCCCTCTGCATGTGGGTAACAGTTGTGTGACTTGGTCTGTTTGTGGCCCCTAGCAGTGGGACCAAGATCTGTCCCTGGCACATGAACTGGCTTTTTGGAACCTATTCCCTATGGTGGGATGTCTTTTTCAGTCTTGATACATGGGGAAGGAGCTTGGTCCCGCCTCAACTTGTTATGCCATGCTTTGTTGACTCCCATGGGAGGCCTTACCCTTTCTGAGGAGTGGATGGGAGGTGGGAGTAGAAAGATGGTGGAGGGAGGGAATGGGATGAGAGGAGGGAGGGGAAACTGTGGTTGGCATGTAAAATAAATAAACATTTTTTAATAAAAAGAAAAATCTGAAAATGGGTAACACTTTCTGCATATTTATTTCATGAAAGGTAGTAATCTAAGCATCTTCTATGTATGATCTCAATTTAATCCTACCATAACTGCAACAAGTAATGGAGATAAGAAAAACTAAACAAGTTTCCCAAGGCCCCACAGGTAGTATATGGAAGAGCTCAGAGCTTTTCCTGCTTTTAACACATATACATTGCTGCCTTGCATCCAGCAACTGCACTGTTTAAGCTGACATTCCAGGAATATAACAGAATAAATGCTTATGGAGCACAGGGTATCTTTCTAAAAATCTTATTTTTGAAGAGTTTTAATTCTCTGCCAATGCCTCATTTCCTTTTGCTAGTGGAAATGGTGGCTCTAACCTTAAGAATTTTACTATTTGCCATTACTTATGTAATCTTATAAATAGATCTATGTCAATTATAAGATACAGTATTAGATACATTTGTGTAGCTCTGATTAAAACTTGGCAGAATGATTTATTTTGGCCCAAAGTTTAGAGGGTTATGTTCGTGATCATTTGATTCTGTTCTTACACTGGAAAGCATGACATGGAATATGTAAAAGAAGAACTGTTTACTTCACGACAGATACAAAGGGAAGGTGAGGAGGGAGGGAGAGACAGATAGACAGACAGACTGGCTGACTGACTGGTAAGAGAATGGATGTGCCAGAGACAAACTATGGCACAGAACTTACTTCTGGCTAGGTCTCACTTCCCAAAATTTCTGGAACCTCCCCAAATAGTACAGCCATCCAGGCCCAAGTTTTTAACACATAAACATAAGGAGTATTTTATAATCAAACCATAATATTCTGCTCCTGGCTCCCAAAGGCTCATTTTCATCCCGTAACACAAAATGAACTTAGTCCATCTCCAAGCATATCCAAAGTCTTAACAACCTCCCTCAAAAACCCAAGTTCAAAGTCTAAGACTCAGGTTAACTCTTAGCTGTGGGATGTAATGATAAAAAAAAAATTATATACCTACATTACTCAATTTCACAGAGTAAATATTCCCATTCAAAAAGAGTAGAGTGGGAAGAAGGAAGGATCAGATAAAAGCAAGTCCGAAATTCAGTAAGACATGTCCAGTAGCTAGGGCATGTGTTGGCATGATGTGTGTGCTTCAATGCCTTGAACTCCTCCACCCCACGGCCTTGCCATTTGCAGCCCAGGTGGCATCTTTTCAGGCCTGCCTCTGCTACTTTCAGTTCTCACCAGCAGACGTTCCTGGCCCTGGCACCTCTAACATCCCTATAACTTAACTTCACCCTCACCTCTCTTTGAAATCTTGGCGTAGTCTTCATGACCCCGCAAGTCTTGCATCCTGCCTGCCTGTTAAAAAAATCAACACTACATGGAGAGGTCAAGGTCTGTCACCAGCTTGAGCAGTAGCCAGCCACACTCACTCACCCAAGACTACATCTGTAGTGGTCTCTGACTGAGCTTGGGGAAATACTTCCTTAGGCGGTACTGTGTGTTTAGAGCACCCTGGAGCTGTCTTTTCAAAGCAGTCTTTCAAGTGAGTTAACACCTTTAAACTCTTGATCCCACAATGAGTTGATCTATTGTCAACTTCTCTTTTGTCCCAGTGCATAGTTTCAAAAATTATCCTTTCTTTCTTTCTTTTCTCTTTCTTTCTTTCTTTCTTTCTTTCTTTCTTTCTTTCTTTCTTTCTTTCTTTCTTTCTTTCTTTCTTTCTTTCTTTCTTTTTTCTTTCTAATGGCATTAGTTTATTTAATGGTCTCATCCTCTTGGCCCATAACTTTCAACTCACTCATTATTTCTGGTGACATCGTTCAGTTTTCAACTGTTTCTGCTCTCTTTAATACCCTCCCCCACAATTCTCACTATAAACTTGACTAAAAGTAGCCATAATTACTCTGCTAAAGGAACATCACAGTAAAATGACTCCTAATGTCCTATTCCTTTACCCATAGACTAGAGCATTGTTCAGCCCTCATCGGAGAAACCTCTTCTTGCAATAGAAAATAACCAACACAACTGGGTAACTGCAGAGAGTAAGAGACTTTGGAGCACTCAGTCCTAAATAGGATGTCTTTCTTAAGTCCTGCCCCTTAAGGTTCAGCATCTATGCAGAGAAGGAAGCAGAAAGATCGTAAGAACCAAGGTGATGGATGGCTCCAAGGAAACACCATCTTCTAGACACAACAGGACTGAAGCACATATGAACTCACAGAAACTGTAACGGCACACACAAGACCTGCACAGCTTCAAACTAGACACAATCCCACCACTGGAAATGGGAGGTGGACACAAAGTCCCACTCCTAATCCAGAAGCTGTTTGCAGTTGATACCTTCAGGGGGAAAAGGAAATCCATTTTCTATGGTGGAATGTCACTAGGCATATCAACCACACTGCCAGGGAAGGACCCCACACCCAGTAGTTGGCCAACACCAAACAGACTCCATGAGTTTCTTGTGTGCTTTTTTTTGTTGTTGTTGTTGTTTGGTATTTTTATGTCTTACTTTTTTTTTTCAATTTGTTTATTTATTTATTTTTATGTATTTGCTTTTGAGAGAGAAAGAACATGAAGTTGTGTGGGGTACGGAGGCAGGGAAAGAATATGATAAGGATACATTGTATATAAATTTTAATAAAAAATAAAATTTTAAAAGAAAAGAAAGACCTGTACCTGAATCCTATGCCATATTTAAATTTACTCAAATTAATTAGTCCATTACTTTAAAATTCAGCCTTACTGAAAGGCTAAGGACCCAGGCAAAATGTAAGTTATTTGCTAGAGTATAATATAATTCATGATAGTCCATTTCACAACAGAGCTTTCGTTTCCTCCTGGAACCTTCATTTTCCCCCAGAACCTAACTGCATTTCCCTCAGCCTCTGATCATAAGAGTATCGACCACAATTGTGCATTAAGTTCTGCTTACAGCATTATAGAGTTTCTGAAGCCTGCATTTTCAAGTGTTTCCAAATTCCTCCTGCAACCTGTCCCAAATGCTTTGATAGTCAAACCACAACCACGTGGTCAGGAACAGTCACAACAGTGACCTCCCTTCTCTGACACCAATTTTGTGTGATTTTTTTTTTAATCTCTATGACCAAAATAGCTTATATCATAAATTGAAGAAAGATTCGTTTTGGCTTCTGGTTTCAGAGATTTTAGTCCATAATCCTTGGCTCTGTTAATTCTGGGTCAATGGTGAGGCAGGTTATTATAGTATTGAAGGCACATGGCAGAAGCTACTCACCTAATGACAGACAGGAAGCAGAGATGGAGGGAGGGATGCAGGGGGTGGGGACAAGATAGCCTCAAGGACCCACAACCAATGATCTTTCTTTCAGCCAAGTCCCATCTCCTGTTTCCAGGACCTCCCCAAACAGTGCAAACAGTTCATAATAAAGCGGTCAACACCTGAGCCTGTAGGAGGCATTGATACTCAAACCAAAACATGTACTAGGTTGTAGTGGGTGGTTTTGTGTGTCAACTTGACACAAGCTGTAGAGTCGTCATTGGAAGGAGCCTCAGCTGAGGAAATGCCTCCATGAGATCCATATTCTCATTTAGTGATCAATGGGGAAGGACCCAGTCCCTTGTGGGTGGTGCCATCCTGGGCTGGTGGTCCTGGGTTCTAGAAGAAGGTAGGCTGAGCAAGCCATGGGAGGCATGACAGTAAGCAGCACCCCTCCATGCCTCTATATGAGCTCCCACTTCCCGGATCCTTCCCTGTTTGAGTTCCTGTCCTGACTTCCTTCAGCGATGAACAGCAATGCTGAAGTGTGAGCCTAATAAACCCTTTCCTCCCCAACTTGCTTTTTGGTCATGGTGTTTTGACACAGCAATAGAAACCCTGACTAAGACACATGTCAACTGTTATTACTGCTTAGTTACGAAAATCTGACGGTGAAAGTAAACAATTCATTTGATTATTCTTAATCAGGATGTTGACAAATTAGCATTGTATAAATGCGTTATGTCCTGATGAACCTGGAAGGCGATCAAGGACACACAGACACAATAGGGAAGGTTGTGGTAACTGTACTTTCTAGGGGGAAATGTTGGACAGGTTGTTTGGGGGTTTGTCTGGTGTGTTGTTTTGTTTTGTTTTCTTTTTTTTGTTTGTTTTTTGTTTTTCAGAGATTCGCCTGCCCCTGCCTCCCAAGTGCTGGGATTAAAGGCATGTATCCCCACTGCCCAGTTTTGGACAGGTTTTGATTTTCACATAGCTTATTAAAATGTTTGTAATAAATAAGTACCTGGCTGTGCCCAAGTAAACATATTCTTCATAATTCATGCACTTTTAAACTGTTTGTTTCCTTATACGGATGAAGATACACATTGATATTGAAAGCATTCTTTAAATATGCTTGACTAAATGAGGGTTGTGCAGAAATCACATGGAACATTTTTTGCCACTATTACTACTGTTTCCCCACCCCTTCAAATATATTAGCTTCTTTAAAAATTTATTTGAATTTGATTTCACTTTTATGTGTATGGATGTTTTTGCCTGAATGTCTGCAGGTTCACCATGTACATGCCTTGAGCCCATGGAGGCCAGGAAAGGGCATCAGGTCCCATAGAACGGAGCTTAGAGAAAGTTGTGAGCAACCATGTGGGTGTTGGGAACTGAATCTGGGTCCACTGCACTGATCAGCAAGTCTCCATAGCCACTGAGTCATTTCTTCAGCCCCTCCTTTTAAATTTTAATGACCATTACAGCATGGTGATTAAATGCATTGTTCTGTAGCCAGACTACCCAGGTTCCAATTCCCCCTCTGCTATTTACAAGCTGTATGACCTGAGCAGCTTCTCTGAATTTTAGTTCCTTCTGCTATTATTATTTCCCTAACGCTTGGCCCCCTTTTATCCAGAATGGCTTTTTAAAAGTATGATATTAAT